ACGGCATCTTCTCAGAGGAAGACACCCCGACCAAAGATGTCAAGAACAAGCGCTTCTGGAGCTATGTGAAACACCAAAAGTCCTCAAACGCTGGAGTTTCCCCCTTGAGGTGGGATGGCCAATTGACATCTGACCCAAAAGCACAGGCGGAGATACTCAATCAGCAGTTCCAGTCGGTCTTTGGTGACGGTAGAGAGTACTCTGAGACTGAGTTCCTTCTGAAGACCAAAATGATGAACAGAGCCTATCCTATCATGGGAGATATCCAGATATCAGAACAAGGTGTGTTTGCCCTCCTCAATACCATTAACCCTTACAAAGCATGTGGTCCTGACAACATTAAACCACGAGTGCTCAAAGAATTAGCCAAAGAAATCGCTCCTGCACTGACAATCCTCTTCCAATCGTCACTATGCACAGGAAATGTTCCAGCAGACTGGAGAACAGCGCATGTCACTCCAATTTACAAGAAAGGGGAGCATTCCGACCCTGCCAACTATCGTCCGATATCCCTCACTAGCGTCGTCTGCAAACTGTTGGAGCACATAATCGTAAGCTCTGTCATGAAGCATCTTGAAAGCCAAAATATACTCAATGACTGTCAACATGGCTTCCGAGTCAATAGGTCATGTGAGACCCAGCTTCTCGAATTTGTAGAAGACTTGATGACCAATCTGGAGAACCACAAGCAGACTGACGTGCTAGTAATGGACTTCGCAAAAGCATTTGACCGGGTGAATCATAGTTTGCTTCTACACAAACTCCAGAGATATGGGATTCAAGGCACCACTAAAACATGGATCTCTAGCTTCCTCAGCCACCGACACCAAGCAGTAGTGGTGGGCGGTACAAGCTCCTCCTTTGTCAATGTGAAGTCAGGGGTCCCCCAGGGATCAGTCCTGGGCCCCTGTTTGTTCCTAGCATACATTAATGACCTACCGGAGAAATTGACATCACAGGCAAGACTGTTTGCAGATGACACAGCAGTGTATAGGACGATCGCCAACAGATCTGACCAGGACCAGCTACAACAGGATCTCAATATGTTAGCTGAGTGGGAGATGAGCTGGGACATGGGATTTCACCCTGCCAAGTGCCAGACACTATCAATCTCTAGAAGTTGTACTCCTCTACACTACCAATACAAACTGCACGGCCATATTCTTGAGCAAGTTTCCTCCGTAAAGTACCTGGGTGTTACCATTCAAAGAGAGGTCCGCTGGGACGAGCATATTAACAATGTATGTAACCAAGCAAACCAAGCCTTGGGGTTCTTAAGGCGAAATCTAAAGATTGGCAACTCTTGTGTGAAAGAAAGAGCATATAAAGCCTTTATCCGTCCGATTTTAGATTATGCATCTTCAGTCTGGGACCCATTTACCCAGAAGAGCATTGACAGGTTGGAGGCGGTCCAGCGACGAGCAGCACGTTTACCTCAAGCCTTCAAACCCCTAGTGCATAATTTCCTCATCACCACCAGTAACAGAAACATTGCAAATCCCATCTACATGCATAGGAGCCAAAATGATCAATAAATTGATCGTGGGCCCTTAAGATATAGAAGAAGAAGAAGAAGAGAAGTTAGATAGCAATACGTTAGTAATAAAAAGTTAGATTAGCAATGCGTGAGTAATAGAAAGTTAGATAGCAATGCGTGAATAATAGAAAGTTAGATGGCAATGCGTGAGTAATAGAAAGTTAGATAGCAATGCGTGAGTAATAGAAAGTTAGATAGCAATGCGTGAGTAATAGAAAGTTAGATAGCAATGCGTAAGTAATAGAAAGTTAGATAGCAATGCGTGAGTAATAGAAAGTTAGATAGCAATGCATGAGTAATAGAAAGTTAGATAGCAATGCGTGAGTAATAGAAAGTTAGATAGCAATGCGTGAGTAATAGAAAGTTAGATAGCAATACGTGAGTAAAAAAAGGTAGATAGCAATGCGTGAGTAATAGAAAGTTAGATAGCAATACGTGAGTAATAGAAAGTTAGATAGCAATACGTGAGTAATAGAAAGTTAGATAGCAATACGTGAGTAATAGAAAAAGAAAGTTAGAGAGCAATGCGTGAGTAATAGAAGGTTAGATAGCAATGCATGAGTAATAGAAAGTTAGATAGCAATGCGTGAGTAATAGAAAGTTAGATAGCAATGCGTGAGTAATAGAAAGTTAGATAGCAATACGTGAGTAAATAAAGTTAGATAGCAATGCGTGAGTAATAGAAAGTTAGATAGCAATACGTGAGTAATAGAAAGTTAGATAGCAATACGTGAGTAATAGAAAGTTAGATAGCAATACGTGAGTAATAGAAAGTTAGATAGCAATGCGTGAGTAATAGAAAGTTAGATAGCAATGCGTGAGTAATAGAAAGTTAGATAGCAATGCGTGAGTAATAAAAAGTTAGATAGCAATGCGTGAGTAATAAAAAGTTAGATGGCAATGTGTGAGTAATATAAAGTTAGATAGCAATGCGTGAGTAATATAAAGTTAGATAGCAATGCGTGAGTAATAAAAAGTTAGATGGCAATGCGGAGCTCTGAGATAGAAAGAAAAGGGAGATGTTTGTTTGACAAATGTTATAGAAAGGTCGATGAAAACAGGGTCAATCCAAATGGCAGACAAAGACATTACACACTTAATTTAATTAAAAAAAACACACAACTCAAACACTATTAAATAGTATATTAAAATATGCTTACCAAAAAAATCTGAACCAAAAGTTACAAGACGGGAGTTTTCAAAGTTACATACACTTTTGAAGATGAACAAAACATGGGTTCAACCTAAACATTACTGTAAATATTGATTTGTTTAGCTAACTTGGCCAAAAATTTTATTCTAGTGTTTTATTTACTCTCTCTTTTGTCCACATGGATGTCTCAGATAATCGATAATACATTTAAGCTCCAATGAATTATTTCTAGTGGCCACCAACTGTTGGTCGAAATTGAATTTGTACAGCAGTCAACCACAACAGTACAGTACAAGAATCCATCATTATTGTCAAGATTGTTCAATGAACTTCTCACGGCGACTAGTGGATTACCTCTATGAATAAGATAAAGATATGGCTGTAAGTTCACCTTTGGTATCTACATAAAATTATCTAGCCCTTCACTGATGATATAACAGTATCACTGCTAACAGTGACCTATCCGGCCTTATTTCAAAAGATATTCAACCTGACTCTATGAATCCCAAACTGAGATAACAGATATGCACCCTACATTGTCTGGCGAAGATGGAAGGGTGCCATAGATATACTGCCAAAGAGTACACTTCCTGTCGCCAAAGAGTACACTTCCTGTCGCCAAAGAGTACACTTCCTGTCGCCAAAGAGTACACTTCCTGTCGCCAAAGAGTACACTTCCTGTCGCCAAAGAGTACACTTCCTATCGCCAAAGAGTACACTTCCTGACGCCAAAGAGTAAACTTTCTGTATGGGCGCCCCACGATTTTACTTTTAGCCTTATCTTCCATTGTTTTCACTATTTCCTTTGTGAGGTGATGGAAAAAAAACAAAAAAACAACAAAAAAAAAACAAAAACAAAAAAAAAAAAACAACAAAAAAAACCGAATGATATTTTTAATATTTTCAATACAGCATAGTCGAAACAAAATTACGTCAATGATGATGTTGAAAAAAGAAATAAAACTTTGAGAACCAAGAGAAATTTATAGGAGGTTGAAAACTATATAAAAAAGGCACCAAAATTATAATTAACTGTCATTGACAATCTTTACAAAAGCTAGGGTATCCAACCATAATTTTGAGCATTGCATAATTTGAGCTTTGCTTGTTAAATGAAAATACACATTAAAAAAAATCACAACAATCTGAACAAAAGATTCTATAAAGCACATAAAAGAATAGTTCAACTAATAAATAAAAGTATAAAAAAAATTTATCGACATGAGGATTCTTAGTTAACACTTTGTAGTATATATTATTACATTAGTAGAGCACCTTTAATATGACAAGTACGCAGTAATGCTGGTTGTCAAATGAAACTATACAAACTAAAACCATGGAGATGGCAATAGTAACATGGAATGTTACATCAAAAGTTGAAGTGCCCCACATCAGAAAGCTTCAGCAATCATTAATATAGTATCAGGGGTCAAAGTCCACAGGAACGTGTGGGAACGCCGTTGCTGTACTTTTTTTGTGTGCTATGTAATTAAATACTTATTTATTTTTGTAAAAGGGTCCGTTCTCTCACTTATTTTCACACGACCAGACCCCAGCATAGTATCACTACGCTTTGATGCTGACCCCAGCATAGTATCACTACGTTTTGATGCTGACCCCAGGATAGTATCACTACGTTTTGATGCCGACCCCAGCATAGTATCACTACGCTTTGATGCTGACCCCAGCATAGTATCACTACGTTTTGATGCTGACCCCAGGATAGTATCAATACGCTTTGATGCCGACCCCAGCATAGTATCAATACGCTTTGATGCTGACCCCAGCATAGTATCACTACGTTTTGATGCTGACCCCAGCATAGTATCACTACGCTTTGATGCCGACCCCAGCATAGTATCAATACGTTTTGATGCTGACCCCAGCATAGTATCAATACGCTTTGATGCTGACCCCAGCATAGTATCACTACGCTTTGATGCCGACCCCAGCATAGTATCACTACGCTTTGATGCCGACCCCAGCATAGTATCAATACGCTTTGATGCCGACCCCAGCATAGTATCACTACGCTTTGATGCCGACCCCAGCATAGTATCACTACGTTTTGATGCTGACCCCAGCATAGTATCACTACGTTTTGATGCTGACCCCAGGATAGTATCAATACGCTTTGATGCCGACCCCAGCATAGTATCAATACGCTTTGATGCCGACCCCAGCATAGTATCACTACGCTTTGATGCTGACCCCAGCATAGTATCACTACGCTTTGATGCTGACCCCAGCATAGTATCACTACGCTTTGATGCCGACCCCAGCATAGTATCACTACGCTTTGATGCCGACCCCAGCATAGTATCACTACGCTTTGATGCCGACCCCAGCATAGTATCACTACGCTTTGATGCTGACCCCAGCATAGTATCACTACGCTTTGATGCCGACCCCAGCATAGTATCACTACGCTTTGATGCTTTATTTTCTTATCATGGTTTCAAATAAAAACTACACTACAATGATAAAACTATATACAAATATAAATTCACTGGCGGATCTAGCGACTGGTGATCCCATCATGTCAAACTGTCATTATATTATGTATATATTACCTAACGCTTGCCTATGAAAGTTAACTAACTGATCAGTTTTGACCTCACCTTTTCTATGTTTGTGACACTGAGTTTATTATTTGGGTTCAGCGATTGTCACAATCTTTCGCCATGATGCAAAATGAACCCTTTATATTTTTTAAAGATCACTCAGCACGTGTGCAAGATTTAAAAAAAAAAATAAAATAAATAAATAAATACATCATTTACCTCTAATCATTGTTAATTTGGCCAGTGCTAAGCAATTTGTGCGAGAATTGTTTGATATGCTATGCGTTATTGTATACTAACAATAAATACAGGGTTAATTGAAGGTGCTTTTGTCTAAGTCGTATTTACAATAACACCCATTGAATGGAGTGTTGGACTTTCTAGGATTTCCGTGTTACGACAGCTGCTGACTGCAGCTCAAGTGTCTCATTGCCATCATGTAATAACGGGGTACTTGGATCACTTACATGATAATGAACCTGCACGTTGACATCGTCGTGTCTTGCCGAGTTCTTCAACAATGACCGTGGTTGGGTCATTGCCGTCTTCAGTGTTGGAGAAAGGTGTCCCGATTGTGTCGTGTGCCGCATGTTGGACGCCCCATGGGTATCCCCCAACAGACGGGCGTCTTCACGGAGTTCATCTTCATTGGGGTCATATCCACCCAGGCCGATGACCTCGATCTTGTCTGAGATGCTGACGCTTTTGCCGGATGACGCTGATCCGGTCCTCGCTGTCACCTGTTGATCTGCGGTGGCTGGGTCCCCGCTCAGCGCGCTCTCGCCACTGATCTGCACAACAGGGAGACTCGCGCTGTCAACAGTCTCCATGCTACCCAAGCTTTGGTTTGAACAGTCCGATATAATGGAGGCTCCAGAGTCCTTGCGATAATCTCGGCTCAGTTGTTTGTATTCAGGTTTTTTCTTCAGGTGGTTGGTGGCCACGTAATATTTGAGGAAGGCCTCCAGAGAGCGCCTGCCTCTCTCTATGACGAATTCGACATCGGGTGACTCGAGGACAAAGTCTGAGGTTCCCACGTGACCAGTATTGATTCCCACTGTGCGCTTCAAATCTCGCTCCTGAATATAAGAAAACTATACAATTAAAAATAACTCAAAGAAATTAGAGTAAGCCAATCATAAAAAGGAATATGGATTACAATCACGTGAGCTATAAACTATAGGATGTGGGTGGTACGGTTCTGAAGTGAAGATCGCGTTGATGTGTACGCTCTTGTGTCAAAACCGAGAAATTCAATTATTACTAGAAAGCCTCTTCAAGGGAGTCCGAATGGCAAGAAAGAAAGGGGGTATAACCCATGATCTAATTGAGAAGAAACCTCGACGGTGAGAAAGAAACGGACAAGAAGTGAAGTGAGCAGAAAGGCTTTAATTAAAATACTTAAAATGAAATACATTGGACACATTTTGGAATGAGCTATGCACCACTGTAAGTGGATAAAGCAAAGAGGAAGAGTTATTTGTTATAAGAGGATGTTGCAGCTTATGAAGGGCATATGGCTTAAGTGTCTGCATGGGGACTGAGTTGTTGGCAATGGCGCACGTACTCACCTCTACATAAACCCGCTTAACGTTGGTGAGCAGTGTGGCTTGTAAAGTGTCCAAGAATGAAGGAAAGTTTGTGATGACGCGTCTTTGGTAGCCAAGGAAACGGTTCTGCATATTGATGCCCGTCTCCTCCATAAAACTTAGAAGTTCATTGTAGCTGATCTGAAAATAGAAAAACCTTCGAGTGTTGGATTGCCACTAAATGAGCCCAATGAAACCTTCGACTGTTGGATTGCCACTAAATGAGCCCTATGAAACCTTCGACTGTTGGATTGCCAATAAATGAGCCCAATGAAACCTTCGATTGTTGGATTGCCACTAAATGAGCCCTATGAAACCTTCGACTGTTGGATTGTCACTAAATGAGATTAATGAAACCTTCGACTGTTGGATTGCCACTAAATGAGCCCTATGAAACCTTCGACTGTTGGATTGCCACTAAATGAGCCCAATGAAACCTTCGATTGTTGGCTTGCCACTAAATGAGCCCAATGAAATCTTCGATTGTTGCATTGTCACTAAATAAGCCCAATGAAACCTTCGAGTGTTGGATTGCCACTAAATGAGCCCAATGAAATCTTCGATTGTTGCATTGTCACTAAATGAGCTCAATGATACATTCGAGTGTTGGCTTGCCACTAACTGAGCCCAATGAAACCTTCGATTGTTGGATTGCCACTAAATGAGCCCAATGAAACCTTCGATTGTTGGATTGCCACTAAATAAGCCCAATGAAACCTTCGATTGTTGGATTGCCACTAAATGAGCCCAATGAAACCTTCGATTGTTGGATTGCCACTAAATGAGCCCAATGAAACCTTCGATTGTTGGATTGCCACTAAATAAGCCCAATGAAACCTTCGATTGTTGGATTGCCACTAAAATGAGCCCAATGAAACCTTCGAGTGTTGGCTTGCCATTAACTGAGCCCAATGAAACCTTCGATTGTTGGATTGCCACTAAATGAGCCCAATGAAACCTTCGATTGTTGGATTGCCACTAAATTAGCCCAATGAAACCTTCGCTTGTTGGATTGCCACTAAATGAGCCCAATGAAACCTTCGATTGTTGGATTGCCACTAAAATGAGCCCAATGAAACCTTCGATTGTTGGATTGCCACTAAATGAGCCCAATGAAACCTTCGAGTGTTGGATGGCCACTAAAATGAGCCCAAATGAAACCTTCGAGTGTTGGATTGCCACTAAATGAGCCCAATGAAAACGAACGCCTATATCAAACTATCTAATTGCTTGGCAACACGCGTATATCAAACTATCTCAGTGCGTAGAATGCTGCTAAACTAAATTAGAGTATCTTCTAAAATGCATTCTTACAATTTGAATTCACCAAAAATGTTATGGGTTCCATAACGTTTTAAGAGGTGAGAATAACTTAGAGCAAAAGCATACCCTCAAAGGCGCCACAACTGGACTGAATTTTGTTCATGTTAAGCTGGGGCAGAGTTAGGTTAGAGATATTATTGATCATTATTATGGCTAATTTTGGCTTTTCCAGTCCGAAAGTCTGAAATACCCCTTCAAAAGTGTCTGAAAGAAACACCTAATTCAAGAATGTGCCTAAATGCATCACTGCATTTTAAAATTGCCCAAGAATTTTCGACACCCTCACATTCTGCACTTCTCTTCCCTCACGCTTATCAATGTTACAGTATGGGGTTGAACTAAGGGTTGCAAAATGATAACTCTGGGGCACACCACAACTGGAGTGAATTCAGTTATGTATCGCATTTGGCGCCATTATGCCTTCCATGGACGTCTAAAAAAAATAATTGATTCCCCAAACAATAGAAACTCTGAATTCAGGTATACTCAAAAATGAACCATCTGATTTTGTAACTATAAAAATCTTATTGGGGAGGTGACTCCAAAGAGTCTACTTTTACAATCCCTTTCACGATAAAATACTGCAGTTATCCAAAAAGTCCGCCATTCCATATAATTAACAATTGACACGTGGGTGGGCCACCCACTGCGCCCCACTTTCTACGACCCTGGCAGAGGTGTAGCTATAGTGTTTTCTGTCCCCTATGCTCCCCTCAGCTACGCATCTTACCATTGACACTGCCCTCGCCCAAAAAAAAAAGAAATCTGAAATATACCCCCCCCCACCAAAAAAAAAACAACAAAAAAAACAACAAACAAACAAAAACAACAAACAAACAAAAAACAACAAACAAACAACAACCTCCGGAGGAAATTGTCTGTAAAAAAACACTGGTGATAAACTCATTGTCCCTAAAGCTGTAATCTAAACAATTGTAAAATATAGTGGGTAAAAAGTTTATTAAAAATTATTTTGAAATGACTTCGATGTACGTTCAAATTAAGTTAGTTTTGGTTTATGCAGTTATAATAAGCCCTTATTCAGATGCTGCGCTTTCTAACGTATATCTCTTAAGATAGAAATATTTTTGGTGTCCCTTTTTTTGGTGGAGGCATAGAAATGAAGCTTTGCTCTATGTTCTTTCAATAATAGTACGTGAGATTAATTACATAGTTCAGGGGCGTGCATAAGGGGTGCTTTGGGGGTACCTAGAGGGTTTCAAGCCATTGGTGTTTCTTTTTAATTTTTAAATTAGAACTGGGTATGTTGAAGCTTGATATGAAAACAACATTAGATTAGATGTTCGCCACCAAATCACCATGTGGAATCAACAAACTATTTTCCTACTAGTGGTCCTCAATTTCTCTGTATTTATGTTCTCTTCTTGTTTCTTATCATCTTGATATTTTTACTGTGGGTGGGTGCATTCTATGAGTTTAGCAATGCCTCCAATGCACAATGTGCTGCACACACAACAAGTTCAGTCCGTTGTAGATTTTTAAATACATTTTTTTACATGTTGTATAATAAGCTTCTTAAATGCCAGATCTCTGTTAAGATTTTGTTCCTTGCATCGGTGAATGATACGGGGATGTTACAGTTATTGATACGGGGGTGTTACAGTTATTGATACGGGGGTGTTACAGTTATTGATACGGGGGTGTTACAGTTATTGATACGGGAGTGTTACAGTGAAAAATGGTGCAAGAAAATGAACAATGAAAATTCACAAAACGTAACACCGGTCTTCATAGATATGTATATGTTGATTTTAAATAAGTTGTATATATTTTATAAAATAATTAATTGCTCAGTAAGATTTCAAATGTTCATCCACGTATCATTAACACCATAACAAAAGAAAATAAGTCTACTTTACAGCACACATTTATACATGGAATATGGACATTGATCAAACTTAGGATTCATAGTTGTTTCATTTCATAATTCAGAAGCTAAAGTTTACGGAGTTTGGGGACCCAATTATGTTACTTTACATGAGCTATGTAAATATAATTATAATTAATGAATAGATCTAGACCAAACTTGGTACAAATGAACTTGAAAATATATAGTTCAAATTGTTTTGAACTAATAATATTCACCACTGTTGGGGTAAGGGACACTAACTACTGATATACGCTAAATCTCTGACAATTTTAACCGAAAAAATGGGACAACTTTGACACGTCTAACTTGACTATGTAAATGATGAATAATTAAGAATCCGGACATTAAAATGTCACATGTAAGAACGCTACCTAAAAGGGCCCTTTTTAAAACTTAAATGGAAGACATGAGATGTTTTAGTATTGTCATTAGGATTTCATAAAGTCATGTTTTTACAAGTTGTTTTTTGAAGAATCTTCATTACGTTTCTGTAAGTTTCTACCTTATTCTAGAACATTTAATTAAAAACGGTTTTTAAGATTATATAAATGCCCTTTTTATGTTTTAAATGTTTCCACAAGTCTCTATGATTGTCATTAAATGTTATTAATTAGATTTAAATATATTTTTGAAGTTCATAGAAAGTTCCAAAATTAAATGTAGAAGGTTCTAGAATATATGTCCTTATAATAGCCAAAGCTATACAAGAAGATTTATTTCACACTGCCAGCTTCTACGTAACTTGTTGCATCTTGGCCAAACTTGGTCAACATACCTTTCATTAATGCCTTTTAAAATAACGGTGGATTTCAAAGTCATAATATTCACATCTTTTTATCTTTTTGTGGATAGGCGGGACAGGAGGGTGGGGGTTGGGGGTGGGGGGTGGTGGTTGTACATTTTATTTAAAACAAAAATGCTTCGACTTAGGAGTTTTCAGCCAAATTTAAAGGGGACATTTTTAAAATAAAGTTCGTTCCTTATCCAACTTAAAATACTCACTGCTATAAAGCATTAAAGTTAAGTTCCTTTGTCTCCCAATGCCCCAATAGTAAACATTTTAAAGGCAACCTCTTTGAAATTCCTTTATATTGTAATGGGATAATTTTGAAAAATTCAATTCTATTTATACATAATTATCTAAATGATTTTTATAGTGCCCCTCTCTTAGGAATAACTAAAATGATATCATTTGGAATGGGTATCCTATTTTATTTTAATAAATAAACGACCATAGTTTTGACATTGCTGAATACCTTTATTGAATCAGAAATCTTTTAAAGGTAAGTTTAGTCCTTAAATTATGATTCTAGGCTCTGCTAAGATTGAATATAAACGAAAACGAAATTGGCCGCAAATACAATGTTTACAAGAGTTATCACAAATCTGGCTTTTTATAGAAAGATTTTCATTAAAAACCTGGCACTTTTTCGAAGTGTTTTTGACAGGACCCTAAATTATTCGTGTGCGATGACACGTTTCAGTGGTTTTGTTCAGAATACAAACCCAAGCAAAAACGGAGATATTGGCTAGTGAACTATAAAATATGAATAAACAGTCTTTAGTTAGCTCACTTGTCCATTGTGGTCCTTGTCCAAGTAATCTAAGATTACATCTGATTCCACGTCTCCAAATAAAATAACTTTTCTCTTTTGTGGAAACAAGTCTTCCTGGAAAAAAAGAACAAAGAAATGAAATTTGTTTGTTAAGAGTGGGTTAGCGAAAACTCCATAAACAAATGTGTACTAATAATCTATTTTAATAATACAAACCCCTTTCTTAATGTTAGCACAAGGGCATTATAGAAACATTTAGTTTTCTTAATGTTAGCGCAAGAGCAATTTTGAATGAAGTACAGCAAAAACTTGACCCCCACCAATTTGCTTACAAACCTGCCAGAAGTACGGAGGATGCAATCTTACTATTGTTGGAGAGACTTTACCATCACCTAGACAGTCCTAAAACATATGCCAGAGTGCTTTTCTTAGATTTCTCATCAGCATTTAACATTATCCAACCACACCTTATGATAAAGAAACTTTCCTAGTTAGGTAGCAATTTAAATATTTAGGCTTGGATTCTGAACTTCTTAACAAATCGACAATAATATGTCAAAGTAAATAACCAATTATCTCTAACCAGAGAAATACACCCTGGGGCACCACAAGGCTGCGTTCTCTCCCCTGTACGGTATACAATATATACAAATGATATTCAAAGCTCAAGTGAGACCGTTCCAATCTTAAAATTTGCTGATGATACCACCATCGCTGGCATATTATCTGATGGAGAAGGCCTATACTGCAACTTAGTTAAAAGCTTTATCAATTGGTGCGATGAAAATTTTCTCCAGCTGAATGTCTCAAAAACAAAGGAAATGGTTGTTGATTTCAGGAGGGGGAAACACCAGATTACAGATCGCAACATAAACAATCAACGTGTAGAGAAAGTAGAGGCATATAAGTACTTAGGTGTCACCATTAATAATAAGTTAACATGGCATGAGCACGGCCAAATGCTGTATAAGGAAGTCAACCAAACACTGTTCTACCTCAAAAAACTGTACAAACTAGCAAGTCGTTAATTTATTCTACAGTGCATTTATTGGAAGCCTGCTTAATTTCAGTTTTACCTGCTGGTGTGGGAATTCAACGTCTGATATTAAACACCGCATAAACCGACTAATCAAGAAAGCTAGGAACTTAACACAAACTAAACACCCTTCACTTGCAGAACTATTTGAAGAAAGATGTTTTTGTAAAACTAAACACATTTTGGATGATACACCCCACCCTCTTCATCACAGATACTTAGGATCGGGCCGTTCGAGACGAAATCTTTCAATCAGGGCGAGGACTGAAAGATATACAAATTCCTTTGTTCCCCAATCTGTACGAATTTACCGGCGTGCTCCCTCTGAAGTCACACATCTTTATGAGAACTAATAAGTCCCCGATTTGGCTAAGAGAACTCACTGAATGGCTGTTTGAAATAATTTACAATAAATGTCCTTTGTTCAAATTGTTTTATTTATGTGCTGAAAATGTATAATGTAATCATAAAAAACATTTCCATTTTTTTTTATCAATAAAAGAATCGTATCTTATAAAGACATTTACTTTTCTTAATGTTAGCCCACGTGCTTAATACAGACGTTTAGTTTTCTAATGTTAGCACACGAGCATAATACAGACACTTAGTTTTCTAATGTTAGCACACGAGCATAATACAGACATTTAGTTTTCTAATGTTAGCACACGAGCATAATACAGACATTTAGTTTTCTTAATGTAAGCACAAGAGCGTTATAAAGACATATTCTTGTCTAAATGTTAGCACACGTACATAATACAGACATTTACTTCTCCTAATGTTAGCACACGTGCATAATACAGACATTTACTTCTCCTAATTGTAGCACACGTAGTATAATACATATTATTTGTTTTCTTAATGTTAGAACACACGAGCATAATACAGACATTTAATTTCCTTAATATTAGCACACGTGCATAATACAGACATTTAGTTTTCTAATGTTAGCACACGACCATAATACAGACATTTAGTTTTCTTAATGTTTGCACACGACCATAATACAGACATTTAGTTTTCTTAATGTTAGTACACGAGCATATACAGACATTTAATTTTATTAAGTTTAGCACACGTTCATAATACAGAGATTTAGTTCTCCTAATGTTAGCACATGACCATAATAAAGACATTTAGTTTTCTAAATATTAGCACATGACCATAATACAGACATTTAGTTTTCTTAATTTTAGAACACGACCATAATACAGACATTTAGTTTTCTAAATATTAGCACATGACCATAATACAGACATTTAGTTTTCTAAATATCAGCACACGACCATAATACCGACATTTAGTTTTCCCCACGACACATAAAAATAAAAACACAATTGAATAACAAAAGTGTCATCTGAACTGTATGGGGTTCTGTGTGTTGTTATCACCTAGGCCATTGAAATGTATGGGGTTCTGTGTGTTGTTATCACCTAGGCCATTGAAATGTATGGGGTTCTGTGTGTTGTTATCACCTAGGCCATTGAAATGTATGGGGTTCTGTGTGTTGTTATCACCTAGACCATTTCTAGTTTACTTCTCTCGTCTATCAGTTAACCCATCTATCTTTAACTGCTTACATCTGTCATCAGTATATTTCTAGTTTACTGCTTTCTTCTATCACGTAGTCTATTTCTAGTTAATTTCTCTCGCCAATCAGCTAGTCAGTCCAATTCTATTTAACTGCTCATATCTGTCACTTAGTCTATTGCTCTTTAAGTCCTCTCATCTGTCACATAGTCTATTTCTAGTCCACTGCTCTCATCTATCATTTGTTCTATTTCTATTAAAGTGCACACGTCTGACACCAGGTTTATTTCTAGTTAACGTCTCTCGTCTGTCACCTAGTCTATTTCTAGTCTACTGCTATCGTCTGTCACCTAGTCTATTTCTAGTCTACTGCTCTCGTCTGTCACCTAGTCTATTTATATTAATTTGCTTTCGTCTGTCAATTAGTCCATTTTTTAAAGTAGCATTCCACCAGAGTCAATCATTTTATATTATTTTAATATTTTTAATTATTTAAAAAATATATATTTAGAAGTTAGGGAGTGGGTTTGGGGTTGTAGGGTTAACACTGCTTACAATAGTCAATAATTTAAGAATACGAATATCGTAGTACGTCCATCCCCACTCTATTTTTGTAGAATTAACATTGAGTAACTACTCAATCACTGATCAAGTGGACACTGGCTCGTGAACAAAGAACAAGAGGAGACTAAATTAACATGAGGCTGCCTTCGTTCACTTCACACCAGTGGCACAGCCAGCTTCAGTGCCGTCTGGGAGGGGCACAGAGCAGTCGTGGCTCCCCACTATAACACTAGCTCATTTCATTGACATGACCCAGAACCTGTCAACGTTGCACATTCTAATGAGTCTAAGTTATCCATACGATCATCAAGATTACTGCGGGTAACACTGTTAGTAGTTTGTGTGCACTCTAGCAATTAGTAGTAATTTTTGCTAGTGTCATTCTTTTGCAATAGCTGATATACAATTATAATCAGGGCCCGATACAGCTGATGTGTTAATATACTCAGGGCACAATATAGCTAATATTTTAGTATAATCAGGGCCCGATATTGCAATTATATTAGTGTACTCAGGCCTGATATAGCTAATATTCAGGGCCCGATATAGTTATTACATAAGTTTACTCAGGGAATGAATAGCTAATATTTAGGCCCGATATAGCTGATATGCTTGTAGGCCTATATTTATAGACCGATTATCAAGACCCTCATTTAAGATTTTCAATTCCGTTTCATCTTACTAATTCATGTCCGAGATTCAATTTCGACAAGACATCTTCAAACCAAATCTTGCAAATCTTTTAGTGTTTGCAGGACTCAACGGGTGTCCGTGTCTCAGGTAACTACCCCCCTCCCCCCCCCCCCCCCCCCCCCCCCAAAGCCAGGAATAACAAAAGGTATATCATGGGTCCGTGAACAGTTTTATTTTGTTATAACTGGTTTCTTTAAATGTAACGTATTATAAGACCTAATTCCACTAATTTGAGTAGGTCTAAATAAAAGAGACCTAATTCCACTAACTTGAGTAGGTCTAAAAAAAGAGACCTAATTCCACTAATTTGAGTAGGTCTAATTAAAAGAGACCTAATTCTTACTAATTTGAATAGGGCTAATTAAAAGTGACCTAATTCCACTAATTTGAGTAGGGCTATTTAAAGGAGACCTAATGCCACTAATTTGAGTAGGTCTAATTAAAAGAGACCTAATTCCACTTATTTGAATAGGGCTAATTAAAAGAGACCTAAAGCCACATTTTGGTTTTAAAAAAAGTATGCATTTAATCTGAATAAATTCTTCCCTTTCAATTCATGGTAGTGTCACCAGGTAGATATAATATTGATTTAACAATGATAGATAACCAAATGAAGACATACCGACCCACACTATTACCGGAATTTTACTTAAATAAATCATTACTACGTAATTGTACTCACATCATTCTTACATACAAGTACTTACATCATTCTTAAATAAATGCACTCACATCATTCTCACATACAAGTACTTAGAACATTCTTACATACAACTATGCACATCATTTTTACATACAAGTACACACATCATTCTTACATACAAGTACTCACATCATTCTTAAATAAATGCACTCACATCATTCTCACATACAAGTACTTAGAACATTCTTACATACAATTATGCACATCATTTTTACATACAAGTACACACATCATTCTTACATACAAGGACTCACATCATTCTTACATACAAGAGCACACAACAATTTTTAATACAGGGATGGCCAATATGTGGCCGGCGGGTCGTACGGGGCCCGTCGGAAGTCATGTGGCGGCCCGCAGGGCTAAAACAAATGAACATAAATGTTAACCTTATTTTACATATCACAAAAAGAGCATTACGTCATGAGGCGTTCGTATCATATATTTTTTACTAATAGCTAAGAGAAATTTGAAAGATCTTGGATTTTTGGAATAATGTTTGTATGTAAAAGCTAGTTATGCAGTAACCATGATAATATCAAACAAAATCGTAATCATATTCAGATGGTGAAATGGTTAAGGAATGTTTGGAGAGCGTCGTTGAATTTCTGTGTCCAGAAAAGAAGAAGGATTTCTAAAAAAAATAAGTCTGTCTGTTCAGACTATTACTGGCATAAGGAAGACGTGAGAAAGCATATTGTAGATAATTTGAAAAGTCGAGCATCCACGTTTATATTTTATGCTCTAGCATTGGGTGAAAGCACATATATGGCTGATATTGGCCAACTGGAAATGCTCTAGCATTGGGTGAAGCACGAATATGGCTGATACTGGCCAACTGACCATACTCTAGCATTGGGTGAAAGCACAAATATGGCTGATACTGGCCAACTGGCCATGCTCTAGCATTGGGTGAAAGCACATATATGGCTGATATTGGCCAACTGGAAATGCTCTAGCATTGGGTGAAGCACGAATATGGCTGATACTGGCCAACTGACCATACTCTAGCATTGGGTGAAAGCACAAATATGGCTGATACTGGCCAACTGGCCATGCTCTAGCATTGGGTGAAAGCACATATATGGCTGATATTGGCCAACTGGAAATGCTCTAGCATTGGGTGAAGCACGAATATGGCTGATACTGGCCAACTGACCATACTCTAGCATTGGGTGAAAGCACAAATATGGCTGATACTGGCCAACTGGCCATGCTCTAGCATTGGGTGAAAGCACATATATGGCTGATATTGGCCAACTGGAAATGCTCTAGCATTGGGTGAAGCACGAATATGGCTGATACTGGCCAACTGACCATACTCTAGCATTGGGTGAAAGCACAAATATGGCTGATACTGGCCAACTGGCCATGCTCTAGCATTGGGTGAAAGCACATATATGGCTGATATTGGCCAACTGGAAATGCTCTAGCATTGGGTGAAGCACGAATATGGCTGATACTGGCCAACTGACCATACTCTAGCATTGGGTGAAAGCACAAATATGGCTGATACTGGCCAACTGGCCATGCTCTAGCATTGGGTGANACAGACATATATGGCTGCTACTGGCCAACTGACCATACTCTAGCATTGGGTGAAAGCACAGACATATATGGCTGATACTGGCCAACTGACCATGCTCTAGCATTGGGTGAAAGCACAGACATATATGGCTGCTACTGGCCAACTGACCATACTCTAGCATTGGGTGAAAGCACAGACATATATGGCTGATACTGGCCAACTGACCATGCTCTAGCATTGGGTGAAAGCACAGACATATATGACTGCTACTGGCCAACTGACCATACTCTAGCATTGGGTGAAAGCACAGACATATATGGCTGATACTGGCCAACTGACCATGCTCTAGCATTGGGTGAAAGCACAGACATATATGGCTGATACTGGCCAACTGACCATGCTCTAGCATTGGGTGAAAGCACAGACATATATGGCTGCTACTGGCCAACTGACCATGCTCTAGCATTGGGTGAAAGCACAGACATATATGGCTGCTACTGGCCAACTGACCATGCTCTAGCATTGGGTGAAAGCACAGACATATATGGCTGATACTGGCCAACTGACCATGCTCTAGCATTGGGTGAAAGCACAGATATGGCTGATACTGGCCAACTGGTAGTTTTTGTCGGGGTGTTGAGGTCGATGTTATAAAGACAGAAGAATTAGCGGACACCACTAAGTCACAAGATTAGTTAGAGGCAATTACATCGATTAGGAATCGCTTTTCGTTACAACTTAAAAATTTTTCGTTCTTAAGAACGGATGGTGTTGTATCCACAGTTAAAAGAGAAATTCCATCTATTTGGCTTGGAAGAGTTCTATAAAAAGTATTTGGACAAGGATAAATATCCTGCATTTTACAAAATGATCTGTCGATGGTTTCGCTATACGCAAAGACTTATGCGTGAAAATAGCTTTTAGTCGTATGAAGCACATCAAATCATAAGTGAGTGACATCAGTCGAGATAAAGTTTAATGCACTTCGTTCTGTAAAACAAAGTCTGATCTCTCACTTTCAAATTGTCTAATAAATATGTTTAATCCTCAGTTATGTTTTATTTTCTTAATTTTTTTTTTTACCAATTTCTATTTTTTTTAAATATTACATCAGGCAAGCGTTTGAAAACGATCTCATCTACTGGCAAGCGTTTGACCACGATCTCACCTACTGGCAAGCGTTTGACCACCATCTCATCTACTGGCAAGCGTTTGACCACGATCTCATCTACTGGCAAGCGTTTGACCACGATCTCACCTACTGGCAAGCGTTTGACCACGATCTCATCCACTGGCAAGCGTTTGACTACGAACGATCTCACCTACTGGCAAGCGTTTGACCACGATCTCATCCACTGGCAAGCGTTTGACTGCGAACGATCTCACCTACTGGCAAGCGTTTGACCGCGATCTCATCTACTGGCAAGCGTTTGACCAGATCTCATCTACTGGCAAGCGTTTGACCACGATCTCATCCACTGGCAAGCGTTTGACCACGATCTCATCCACTGGCAAGCGTTTGACCACGATCTCATCCACTGGCAAGCGTTTGACCACGATCTCACCTAGTGGCAAGCGTTTGACCACGATCTCATCCACTGGCAAGCGTTTGACCGCGATCTCGTCTACTGGCAAGCGTTTGACCACGATCTCATTTACTGGGAAGCGTTTGACCACGATCTCACCTACTGGGAAGCGTTTGACCACGATCTCATCTACTGGCAAGCGTTTGACCGCGATCTCATCTACCGGGAAGCGATGATGTGGTCTCAGCTGTAGCACGTTTGATTTTTACTTTATTTAACAAAATAAATTAGGTTCGTGGCCCGGCAGGAAATATGATTTCTGAAATTTGGCCATTCTTCTGAAAAATTGGCCACCCCTGCTCTAATACATGCACTCACATCATTCATACATACAGGTACTTACATCATTCTTGCATACAAGTACTCACATCTTTTAAAGCCGCCTCCAGCTCCCCCCTGTCGATGGTGTTGTTCCTGTCAGCATTGTGTTTCCTCAGTGCCTGGAGAGAGGGGGGGAAATGAGGACAATGGGCTTATGAGTGTTATGAATTCGAAGGACGCGATGGGCACATTGATTGTAATAGAACTCTTCAAATGGAGGCTGGTGTTTCCAATAAGATTATTCTGGGTATTGATTGCTTTGATGCATTAACAATTGAGGACGATAGCCTGGACCCTGAATAAAACAAGTATCTTTAGTTTTTTGGGTACTGCTTTACCGGGGTAATCCCTTCAAAGTCTGCCCTTATGTGTCTCTTGGCCTTTCAGCTCTCTCTATTCTACCGATCCACCAGGCTATGGCCAAACACAAGGAGATATACCACGCGCCACCAATGAAGGTTTGGCAACCTGACGGAAAAAATACTACATTTTCATCTTAGCCAAAAGGCCGAGCAGCGATATTTGAAAAGCTAGTGTTTAATTGAAATGTTCAGTTATTTCTGGTGTGTGGAAAGCCAATGCTAAAATGCTTTAAGTAATTATGGTGTATGGGAAATCCACTAAATGAACGCAGACATAATTACATTAACGACGAAAGTATTGACTAATTGAAACAGACCTGAGTGGCACGTTCCAAAGCTAGGGTCCTAAACTTACTACCAAGATAATTATTCCACTGTAGGAGTTGAAAAAATATAATTAAAAACGATTTAATTGTTTGTATTTTCATTTTCTTTCCTCCGATCGTCTGCTTGAGTTAGTTGAAAACATTTCCATTCACATTAGTGTTGTAAACAAACAATAAGACGATGCAGTCTATTTATGGGACTCTTGATGTGTGCTGACGTTAAAGCTGTCTATAGGACTCTTGATGTGTGCTGACGTTAAAACTCTCTATAGGACTCTTGATGTGTGCTGACGTTAAAACTCTCTATAGGTCTCTTGATGTGTGCTGACGTTAAAACTCTCTATAGGACTCTTGATGTGTGCTGACGTTAAAACTCTCTATAGGACACTTGATGTGTGCTGACGTTAAAACTCTCTATAGGACTCTTGATGTGTACTGACGTTAAAACTTTCTATAGGACTCTTGATGTTTGCTGACGTTAAAACTCTCTATAGGACTCTTGATGTGTGCTGACGTTAAAGCTGTCTATAGGACTCTTGATGTGTGCTGACGTTAAAACTCTCTATAGGACTCTTGATGTGTGCTGATGTTAAAACTCTCTACAGGACTCTTGATGTGTGCTGACGTTAAAACTCTCTATAGGACTCTTGATGTGTGCTGATGTTAAAACTCTCTACAGGACTCTTGATGTGTACTGATGTTAAAACTTTCTATAGGACTCTTGATGTGTGCTGACGTTAAAACTCTCTATCGGACTCTTGATGTGTGCTGACATTAAAACTCTCTATAGGACTCTTGATGTGTGCTGACGTTAAAACTCTCTATAGGACTCTTGATGTGTGCTGACGTTAAAGCTGTCTATAGGGCTCTTGATGTGTGCTGACGTTAAAACTCTCTATAGGACTCTTGATGTGTGCTGACGTTAAAACTCTCTATAGGACTCTTGATGTGTGCTTACGTTTAAGCTGTCTATAGGACTCTTGATGTGTGCTGACGTTAAAACTCTGTATAGGACTCTTGATGTGTGCTGACGTTAAAACTCTCTATAGGACTCTTGATGTGTGCTGACGTTAAAACTCTCTATAGGAATCTTGATGTGTGCTGACGTTAAAACTCTCTATAGGACTCTTGATGTGTACGGACATTAAAGCTGTCTATAGGACTCTTAATGTATGGTAACCTTCAAGCTGTCTATAGGATTCTTGATGTATGCTGACATTAAAGCTCTTGATGTATGATGAAGTTAAAGCTGTCTATAAGACTCTTTATGTGTGCTGACGTTAAGGCTGTCTATAGGACTCTTGATGTATGATGACGTTTAAGCTGTCTATAGGACTCTTGATGTGTGCTGACGTTTAAGCTGTCTATAGGACTCTTGATGTAAGCTGACGTTTAAGCTGTCTATAAGATTCTTGATGTGTGCTGACATTAAAGCTGTCTATAGGACTCTTGATGTGTGCTGACATTAAAGATGTCTATAGGACTCTTGATGTGTGCTGACATTAAAGCTGTCTATAGGACTCTTGATGTATGATGACGTTTAAGCTGTCTATAAGACTATTGATGTATGCTGACATTTAAGCTGTCTATAGGACTCTTGATGTATGCTGACGTTAAAGCTGTCTATAGGACTCTTGATGTGTGCTGACATTAAAGCTGTCTATAGGACTCTTGATGTATCCTGACTTTTAAGCTGTCTATAGGACTATTGATGTATGCTGACATTAAGGCGGTCTATATGACTCTTGATGTATGCTGACGTTTAAGCTGTCTTTAGGACTCTTGATGCATGATGACATTAAAGCTGTCTATATGACTCTTGATGTATGCTGACACTAAAGCTGTCTATAGGGCTCTTGATGTATGATGACGTTTAAGCTGTCTATAAGACTCTTGATGTATGGTGACATTAAAGCTGTCTATAGGACTCTTGATGTATGATGACGTTTAAGCTGTCTATAGGACTCTTGATGTGTGCTGACGTTTAAGCTGTCTATAGGACTCTTGATGTATGCTGACGTTTAAGCTGTCTATAAGACTCTTGATGTATGCTGACATTAAAGCTGTCTATAGGACTCTTAATGTATGATGACGTTTAAGCTGTCTATAGGACGCTTGATGTATGCTGACGTTTAAGCTGTCTTTAGGACTCTTGATGCATGATGACATTAAAGCTGTCTATAGGACTCTTGATGTATGCTGACATTAAAGCTGTCTATAGGACTCTTGATGTATGATGACGTTTCAGCTGTCTATAGGACGCTTGATGTATGCTAAAGTTTAAGCTGTCTTTAGGACTCTTGATGCATGATGACATTAAAGCTGTCTATAGGACTCTTGATGTACGATGAAGTTTAAGCTGTCTATAAGACTCTTGATGTATGCTGACATTAAAGCTGTCTATAGGACTCTTGATTTAAGCTGACATTAAAGCTGTCTATAAGACTCTTGATGTATGCTGACATTAAAGCTGTCTATAGGACTCTTGATGTATGGTGACATTAAAGCTGTCTATAGGACTCTTGATGTATGCTGACGTTAAAGCTGTCTATAGGACTCTTGATGTGTGCTGACATTAAAGCTGTCTATAGGACTCTTGATGTATGCTGACATTAAAGCTGTCTATAGGACTCTTGATGTATGCTGACATTAAAGCTGTCTATAAGACTCTTGATGTATGCTGACATTAAAGCTGTCTATAGGACTCTAGATGTAAGCTGACATTAAAGCTGTCTATAGGACTCTTGATGTATGCTGACATTAAAGCTGTCTATAGGACTCTTGATGTATGCTGACATTAAAGCTGTCTATAAGATTCTTGATGTATGCTGACATTAAAGCTGTCTATAAGACTCTTGATGTATGCTGACATTAAAGCTGTCTATAGGACTCTTGATGTATGCTGACATTAAAGCTGTCTATAAGACTCTTGATGTATGCTGACATTAAAGCTGTCTATAGGACTCTTGATGTATGCTGACATTAAAGCTGTCTATAAGACTCTTGATGTATGATGACATTAAAGCTGTCTATAGGACTCTTGATGTATGCTGACATTAAAGCTGTCTATAAGACTCTTGATGTATGCTGACATTAAAGCTGTCTATAGGACTCTTGATGTATGCTGACATTAAAGCTGTCTATAGGACTCTTGATGTATGATGACATTAAAGCTGTCTATAGGACTCTTGATGTATGATGACATTAAAGCTGTCTATAGGACTCTTGATGTATGATGACATTAAAGCTGTCTATAAGACTCTTGATGTATGCTGACATTAAAGCTGTCTATAGGACTCTTGATGTATGATGACATTAAAGCTGTCTATAGGACTCTTGATGTAAGCTGATATTAAAGCTGTCTATAGGACTCTTGATGTATTCTGACATTAAAGCTGTCTATAGGACTCTTGATGTAAGCTGACATTAAAGCTGTCTATAGGACTCTTGATGTATGATGACGTGTAGATCAGGGATTTTTCAGCGTCGCACCTTTTTTCAAAAACATATTTTCCGCCCTCATCTCACCCCAACCCATTAGAAACCTTCTATGAATGCCAATAAAACATATTTTCCGCCCACATCTCACCCCAACCCATTAGAAACCTTCTATGAATGCCAATAAAACATATTTTCCGCCCTCATCTCACCCCAACCCATTAGAAACCTTCTATGAATGCCAATAAAACATATTTTCCACCCTCATCTCACCCCAACCCATTAGAAACCTTCTATGAATGCCAATAAAACATATTTTCCACCCTCATCTCACCCCAACCCATTAGAAACCTTCTATGAATGCCAATAAACCAGATTTTCTGCGTCTTCCCGTACCGCCTGACACTGTCTCCCGCATCCCCAATGGGGTGTGGGCACCCATAGTTAAGATCTCTAGTGTGAATAGTGCATGTTAACATTCCATTTGTCTACAACAACAATGACACAACGGCAAGTCTTACACACCAGCTGACTGCGCTGAGGTTCGACACAATCCCCAGGAATAGGAATTTAATCCGCAAGACACCGCCATCGAATTGTTTCAGCCAGATTACATAAAAAAGCAGAAGAAGTTGAATTTTTTTTTCATTACTGAAAAAAAAATGTCTAACTTCAATCCTACTGAGGTGTAAGAGGAAAGAGCAGGTAGGAGAAGTGAAGGCCTCATGGGACATACGTCCGATTTGTATGGTGCTAGCACGTACTCGAGTGTCTCAGGTTGATGCTATTTATTCTTTAGGTTGCGGTAGCCATTGATATTTCCAAAGGGACCATGGGGTAAATTTTCCCCCATCTTAAGGGCTTAAAATTTGTTTCAAATTGTATAATGTTATAAATATTAGATCTCTCACATAAATGATAGATCCATCCATTGTAGTTTAGATCTACTCTTAATAGAAGTTTAGATCCATCCATGGTTGTAGTTTCGATCTACTCTTAATAGTAGTGGAGCATACAAGACAGTGACTCTTCACGTTTCAAAGTAGGAATGGGTACCTTATAGGGTATTTACCTACAAGACTAATAGTAAAGTTGACAGAAAAATTCGCTGTCCCGTTAAAAGGCCGGCCGATTGCGTTAAAAACTGCTCATGAGTCAGCTTTAGCTGGAGTCATGTCCGTCAGGAGGACAAAATACCGTATCTGTTCGGAATTTTTTTGGTCGAACACGAACAAAGAAATCACCAACTATGTTAAAAAATGTCCCATATGCCAGAAAGCTCGACCTCCTGGTAGCTTTAAATCCATAGAGTTAGGACTGATGCAAGTCATTGGGGTACCTTGCAAAGAGTGGCAATAGATGGACCCCTACAAATGAGCACCAAAAAAAAAAAAGATATATAATTACATTAATTGATATGGCCCGAAGTAGTTCCATTGAAAAATGTGACAACAAAAGATGAAGAGTTAGGACTGATGCAAGTCATTGGGGTACCTTGCAAAGAGTGGCAATAGATGGACCCCTACAAATGAGCACCAAAAAAAAAAAAAAGATATATAATTACATTAATTGATATGGCCCGAGGTAGTTCCATTGAAAAATGTGACAACAAAAGATGTATGTGAAGCACTAGTTACCATATTTACAAGAATGGCCTTTTATAATATCCATGGTTGTAGATTAGATTTACTCTTAATGGTAGGGTGTGTAACACCAAACGTTTAACTAATCCAGACCAACGACTCCACCAGACGCATGACTGCACCACACCACTGACTCCACCGGACCTATGACTCCACCAGACATATGACTCCACCACACCCAAGATTGCACCAGCAGTAACTCACCCTAAGAAAGGCATTCATTGCAGTCACCAGCCGTCTGTGCTCTCTGTCGGTCTTCAGTTGGAGTTTCTTTTTCCTGATTTTAGCTCTAAGTTTTGAATGTATTAAAAAAAACAACAACTCTTCAACATGATGATTAACAAAGCTTATTGCGTAAACAACCATTAGAGGAAATTTCAGGAGCGTATCTAGGGTGGGGCAAGACGGAGCACCATTTAAAAATAGAAAATGAGCCACAAGGCCATACAACCACCTTTTCAATAATTTATAACCAAACACACACCTGACAGGTTTTGATGTTTGGACAGTGGGTCTAGTTCAGTCTTGTCGTACGCACCAACTGACATACGACACAGTTCCACGCAGAGTTTGGGAACCAGGAACTAAAAACAAAATCCACCCTATTTCCAATGTTAGAAAACCATTCAACGGTTTATGAGGGGGAGTGGGGAGGGAGGTGAATAGACAAAGGTTTAAGCAGCCGTGGACCATTTGTGTGCATGAATGGCGGAGAAAATTGCTTTTAAAGTGTTTGGTTGACGCTGGGAGAGCCGTTTCATGGTCGTATTGACATTTCAATGTCTTTGTTAACAAGCTGCCGCACATGAAAACGTTCTGAGTAAACATTGTCCTGAGGAAGTTGGATCGCACTGAAACACCCAGCAACAGCTTATTTTTTTTTTATATTTGATACTGTGGAACTCTTAGAGGCTAAAATAGTATCGAATCTGTGACAATATAACATAAATAGATCGATTATCTTGTTCCTGTTCCAGTACTGAAAAAGTTGGTTTTACCCTAATGTTTCAGTCATGCTCTCTACTGTTGTGTAAAGACACAGTGGTGTCCATGTATAGGGTATTTACCAACAAGGGTTGGTGGCGTCAGACGTGGGTCAAGATTTTTGACGCTACCCACGATAAACTCTGCATTAGGCAAAAATGCCGCCGATCAATCTACAGGGAAGAGTACGACACGGGGTAGATGCTGGACCAACCTGCTGCCTCTTTTCTTCACTGTTGGTTTATATAAACATGACAATTCTACTTTAAGTCTCTTTTGAAATAGAGTATTAAATTGAAAAAATTCACTTTGGAATGCCCTAGTCAAGTAACGTCCAAATTGTCTAAAGTCGAACCCGCTTATCTTGACCTAAGTTAACTCGCCAACCCTGTTATGTCGACGTCTTTGAAGGGGAATCGCCAAACACTCTCTTTGTCTTAGCATTTTCTCCTCGGTTATGTCGATTCTTTTATGTCACTGAACCCTGATATCTCGACCACAAAAGGCGGACAAATTTTTCACTTAACCTCGGTTATCCCGACACCCATGACCAATCGCCGGCTTTTGAACTCCGCAAGAAAAAATAGCTAACAACCAAAAAAAAACCCAAGTTTTTCATAATTAAAAATAATTATTTATTACTCAAAATAAAGGACTTGTGTTTTAGAATGAGCCTAGAAATAATTTAAATAAATATGTTTTGATTCGAGGTTTAAAAACCCGGTAGAGTCCATATTATAAATGATCATAATTTGCCGTGTGCAAAACGTTGCCATGGGCAGCCAGTCGCGGTCACTAGCATAATGGCTATGCCGTGGTACTACCTCAGAGTTTCATTCATAAGAGTTTGCCGTGTGCAAAAGCTATTAAGCCATTGGTCAGGGAAAGCTTTAATTAAATAGTCATGTGCCAAAGTTGAAAGTTCAAAATAAATTAGTCCCTAATAAATAGTATTTTAGTAATAGGGGATGCGTTGCCTTACTTATATAGTATAGTCATTGCGCTAGACACGATCAGCAGAATGAGGTCACAAAATGTGGAGCCTTCGTCCATAGTAGAAAATACCAAAGAACTCGCACTTTAAAAACTCGTAGTTCAAAAAGTACTCAAGTTAAAAAGTTATTTTCATTTTTTACTGAAGTACTTGCATTTATTTACGCACATCATGTACAAAAAGAAATTTAAAACACATCTTAATATAATGCCTCCATATTGGTTTTCGGTTCCCTCGATTATCGGCTATTTCGATGCTTTTTTTGCAAACCCCGAACCCGTTGACAACCGGGTTCTACTGTAATATTGAACTCAGATACTGCAATGCGCTAGAGTCTAAAAGCGCTTAGATAATGACAAGTCATTCCAGCATTTATAACAGGGATGACGAAATTAAGAGTTAAAAGGTGAATATTAAATGACAAACCTGGCAAGTTTAGTATTGGGAAGGTCTTGGAGCTGAACTCCGTGTCGCAGGTTCTCAAGTTGGTACTTTAGAAGGTCCTGCTCATTGTCAGAATACTGAAAATATTTACGGGTTGCGAACTTGTTATAATTGAGCAGTGGGGCATGTGCTGTGCAGTATTTGGGCATGTGCTGTGCAGTAGTGGGGCATGTGTGGTGTTGTAGTGGGGCATGTGTAGTGCAGTAATGAGATAGTTGTGTGAAAGTGATTTTTTTGTTTGCTCATTCAAAACGAACGGCGAAGGTAGTTTGGGTGAAAACAAATACCGTTAAATGGAAGACGTTCTGCAAGTGACGCACTTATGAAAATGCCATTCCATTTCTCAATAAATGCATATGCGTGAAATCTCAAGATTCATTATCAGCATTGACAATAGTCTCATCTTTCCGATGTTCACAAGATTCTCTTGCAGAGATTCAGTCGATTCTTAAATAACCAGAATTAAAATAAATGGGTAGGTTTACAGATCAAACGATAAGCAATGGAGTGCAAAACGCGAGATGAAGAGTCTATGGGTCCTAACCCAGAAATACATTCTTAACTTTGAGATGTTTCTGAGGTACCTACTTCGCCCGGGGTGAAGCCTGATGTTTCTGAGGTACCTACTTCGCCCGGGGTGAAGCCTGATGTTTCTGAGGTACCTACTTCATTCGGGGCGAAGCCTGAAAATGGCACCCTTTCATGTGTAGTGAAATCGGTAAAATCGAATTAGGCGCCACTTGTCATTGTGAAGTACTTGCGTTCATAGGATTTTATCATTTACATTAATCACTATTGTCCCAGAGACGACTTTAGTCGCCCCCCCCCCCACCATGATGTTGGGGCCTGGGGCAAGTTCGTCACTCGCACGGCCCTGCTATTATTATTAAGACTACCTCGCACGACCCTGAAATTATTATTAAGACTACCTCACACGGCCCTGCAGTGGCGACGCCATCAAATTTAACAAGGCGGGTCCCTTGCAGGTCTTTAAAAAAATTGGTGGGTCCCAAATAAATGTATTAAAAAAAAAATTATTTATTAAGTAATATTTATTAATCTACTAACTTAACCCAAAGTTTACATACATTGTCAATTGTCATAATGAATTTATTTGAATGTATAATATTTGTATATATGCGTTTATCGATTTTTCAAGTTATAGAGTTTCTATAAACACACACGCACACATATTTATAAAAATAGGTACATGAATCAATATAAATAAATAAATAAATATATATATTTATATATATATATTTATATATATATATATATATTTATCAATATATATATAGAGAAAATAAAACTTGAGTGTCAGTGCGTACGCTATGGGGAGGGGGAGGGGGGGGGGGGGGGGGGGGGGGGGAGGAAAAACAAGGGAGGTTGGGGAGGGGGGGGGGGGGGGGGGTCGAAATTCGCGATATTTTTGCGTACGTAATATATGGATGGCCTCTTACAAGTTAAAAACTTAAATTTTATATATATTACATTTTATGACGTTATATAGACTTTTGTTGTCGATAAAAATTAAAACATATAAAGGCATTTAAAATGGAAGTTCTCTTACATGTAATGTAGTTTACGCTTAATGACCAAATTTACACTAATAAAAATTTACCAGGTCATTTGCCAGGTCCCAAGTTTTTTTTACCAGGTCCTGGGACCCGGCGGGACCTGGTGTAGCGTCGCCACTGCGGCCCTGCTATTATTATTATTAAGCCAACCTTGCACGGCCCAGCTTTTATTATTAAGACTACCTCGCACGGCCCAGCTGTTATTACCTCGCATAGGCCCAACTGTTACTATTAAGACTACCTCGCATGGCCCAGCTGTTATTATTAAGACTACCTCGCATGGCCCAGCTGTTATTATTAAGACTACCTCGCATGGCCCAGCTGTTATTATTAAGATTACCTCGCACGGCCCAGCTGTTATTATTAAGACTACCTTGCATGGTCCAGCTGTTATTATTAAGACTACCTCGCATGGCCCAGCTGTTATTATTAAGATTACCTCGCACGGCCCAGCTGTTATTATTAAGACTACCTTGCATGGTCCAGCTGTTATTATTAAGACTACCTCGCATGGCCCAGCTGTTATTATTAAGACTACCTCGCACGGCCCAGCTGTTATTATTAAGACTACCTCGTCCGGCCCAGCTGTTATTATTAAGACTACCTCGCACGGCCCAGCTGTTATTATGAAGACTACCTCGCACGGCCCAGCTGTTATTATTAAGACTACCTCGCACGGCCCAGCTGTTATTATTAAGACTACCTCGCACGGCCCAGCTGTTATTATTAATACTACCTCGCACGGCCCCGCTGTTATTATTAAGACTACCTTGCACGGCCCTGCTGTTATTATTAAGACTACCTTGCACGGCCCTGCTATTATTATTAAGACTACCTATTTTGGCAAGTCATGTCATCTATAATATGAATGGCAATTCTGAATACAAGGAAGTTATCGAAACAAAGTAGGACGCAACAAAACAACTTTCTATAATGTTGTCAGGATTAAAACAAGAATAGTACAGCCATTTGATTGGCTGTTTATGTTTACAGCCATTTGATTGGCTGTTAATGTTTACAGCCACTTGATTGGCTGTTAATGTTAACTTGTATGATTAAAATATACACAATATAATCAGACAATGTGGAATCGTCATAGACAGGGTGAAAATTAACAAGAACCTGGAACAATCAAGATCTTCACTCTAGACATTACAGTTAAATTGACTAAGTATAATACGAGTCAAATTGACTAATAATAAGTTGGTTAAATTGACTAATAATAAGTTGGTTAAATTGGCTAATAATAAGTTGGTTAAATTGGCTAATAATAAGTTGGTTAAATTGACTAATAATAAGTTGGTTAAATTGACTAATAATAAGTTGGTTAAATTGGCTAATAATAAGTTGGTTAAATTGACTAATAATAAGTTGGTTAAATTGACTAATAATAAGTTGGTTAAATTGACTAATAATAAGTTGGTTAAATTGACTAATAATAAGGGGGTTAACTTAAATGCATCTTTAGAAATTTGATAACGCTGTATTACATAAATGTGAATTGTTAAAATCTGAAAGCAAAGTTAAGATTGATTATGGTTCATTATTATTATTGACATTTCTCATGAATGACTTGGATGACACTAGGGTCTTCTTTCATTATAAAAATATAAACAATGTTAAGTAGGTCACTGACCAGCTGGAAGCCTAACGTCTTTTCGTTGTATGTACCAAATCTTTCCGTCCTCTCTAGAAGGCGTGGAATGTCCTCTAAGGGTTGCAGCTTTTCTAAAAAGTTGTCCTCTGGTTCCATGGACAACCACCAACCTGGGGTGGATAAAATATAATAAGCGTTTCTTATTACGAATATAATAGAATCGGTCAACGATAATAAACATTTGCCTTATTATGAATAGACAAGCAATGATAAAAGATAATGAACATTTGCATTAGAAACCGACCAAATGTGATTTTCTGATTTCGGCGAAACCGAAAGGGGTCGTCCAGTAATTACGTCAACAATTTTTACGCAATTTTTGCCCCCCTCCCCCTGTCATCAACTGTAAAACTTTCAATGCCCCCCCCCCTATTTAATTATGTCAATATTTTTCTTACCCCCCTCCCCCCACTAATAAAAATTAATTATAATATTAAAAAAAAAGTATAAATACATTTTACTTTGTGCTGATTTATTAAAAGAATTGTAGGAAAAATATTTTATTAGATCTTTAGCTGGTTAATCAACCAATTAAAAAGTTTTTACACTTAAATTTTATAATGCAGAATCAATTAAAATGTTGTTAAAGACTAAATAACACTGTTTGTGGTATAAAAATATGATTTTTGTCAATAAAGCTGACAATTATAGGATAGCTGCTATCATCTTCCCATGGAGTAGCTAGGTGTTGCTCTATCGTAACAATGGGCATCAGGGACATCATTGGGGAAGGGCAGGGGGGCACTCCCCCCCCCCCCTGAATTTGCAGATTTTATTTGAATTGCTATGTACTGTGGCACCTCAAGTGGTAAACAACTTAACAAGTCGACCAAGTTTTGGTTTTGCCCCCCACTGAAAAAAACGACGGGCATAGTCTATAGAAGCTGATTTATCATTTTCATCTTGCGGAACTGATATACCAGACAAGTCAACATCCTCTTCATCTAGTCATTAATCACTTAAAATAGATGCATCGTCGGTGTGAGCAATAATTGCCACATGCTCTCTCTTTCTCCTTGCAGCTACTCGCTTTGGAAAAAACCCTTTTTGTTGAGGAGCAGGTGCAAATTTCTTATGCTCAAGAGGGCATTGTCGGCGCTGTTGAACCTGTTTTTCAACATGACGTGTGATGCAAAATAGATGTTACAGATTTGGAAAATCCGTACAAGCAGCGATGTTATTATTGTTGCTCCCTTTACTTTCCGCTAATGGGAGTCGCTTAGTCAATTATTTTGTCACGTGATATGAGTAAAAACGAGTAAGATTTCCGGTATACTGTATACAACACACTAGTGCTTGACAACAGTAGCCCGATACACACTACAACTACACTACATTTCGTCCAATGAAAATTAACAATAAAATAAACAAAGGGGAATGACTCCTGCATCAATATTGAATAAAAACGCAAATGACGTCATGAGCACGCACGGAGCTCAACAACATCCTGCCGATAATAGTATTGATAGTTCCCATCGAATATCACTCACAAATTTTTCTTGAAATAACTTTCTTCCTTTAATCATAACTGACGTATATTTATTGTCACATTTATGTATTTCATTTAAAAAACGCATGCATTCCAGAATATTACGAAAGGTAAAATTTTTAATTAACATAACATTGGGGAAGTACTGATGAAGTATCTTTTGTTGTGTGTTGCAGCCTAGTGATGACTTACTCATATCACGTGACCAAACAAGGAAGTGACTAAGCGACTCCCATTCTCAAAATATCGTATTCCTACTCTATCAATATCATTTATCTTGACTGCATATTACACTTGAACCTTGTCCTTCTTCCATACCTGCAATATGATCGTAAACATACCGCACTAGTCATTTCCGACAAACATAATCTACAGTGAAGAGAGGCCAACTTCTGACTTCTCTTGCACTAACAAAGTGTGCTAACATTCTGACCAACCATCAGCAGCGCACAGACGCACATTAAATAAATCTTATAGTGATAAAAGTCTAAAAATTATATGACTATTTACACTAATTTACACTTTTTTTTTTTAAAATAATGTAATAAACTGTAATTTTCTAAGATTATAATTTTTATTTAGAAAACATGATTGTTTACGTCAACTAATCTAACTCCTCCTCCCCTGTCAAATATTTCCAAACTGCCCCCCTATTTTTTTGGCATAATTAATGAGCAGCCCGGAACCATCCCAAAAGTTAAAAATTATTTTCTGCCGAAACGGAAACCAAAATCTAAAAGAGGCTTTCGGCCATCATCAAAAGATTTAGATATTTCAAAACTCGTTCGCGCATAGGTTCTGCGCACGTCAAAAAAGGATGGGGGGAAAGTATTGGTATTTATATTCTTGTTATCATATTTGATGTTATCGTGAATTTTTATAGTTAAACATCTAATGAATACTTAGGCTTTTACCATTTGAATGTAATAGTTTATAAAATGTATTTTGAAGTGGTAAAGTAAAAGAAATGTTTTTTCCCCATAAAACTATTCAAATTTACCTATGACAATATTTATGAGCATGACAATGGTAAATCAAAATGAATGTCGAAAATGAATGAAATGAATAAATGTAGGCTTTCCAGATTCGGTTGGCCTCTAATTTGCAGTATCATGAAGATAAAAGTAACCATCAAAGACAATGAACGTATGAACCTGATACAGGTGACTCAAAGAGATTTCATGATCTGAAATGTTAAAAAAATCGTACTTCTAGGGATGGGGGGAGAAAATGTGTTGGATCATTAGTTGAGAAACCTGGGTATAATCAAATAGTGATATTTTACTACAATATGTTGTAATTTATAGTGACAAATAATAGCAAATACATTACAATGACAAGAAATTGATAATAGGTTAATCTTAGTTAATAGAGCATGCATAATTGATCAGAAGTGTGCCTTGATTTTGTCACTAATGTCATTCTATGAGCCATGTCAACGTCAAATAACAATCACATGGAATCAACTTTAAATGCATTTTTGTAAAATAATTCAAACTCACTATGACGTACCATCAAAGCAATGAATGGGATAGTTACACAGCACTCCACCATCGACAAATACATCGGCCTGTCCATAGAGCGTGTGGCGGACAGCTTTAAACATTCCTACATATGAACAGGGACAAAATACGGTGATATCCGATGTTTGCATCAAATTATTCTTCATTGTATAAACAAAACATTATTTGTGTGGAAACTTGTGTTAAGGTTTGTTCCCAACATGTGTGTTAATTTCCAAACAATTTAATTTTGGAGAATTACTATTTATTAAAATGTAATTACTGTTTGAGTAAAAATATTTAAACGATGTAATTTTAATTGACTTTACATTTATACCAATCAAATATGTCACATACTGACCCGGTATACTTATTGACATGCGCACTGCTAGTCTAACTGGCATATCTGGTGTGGTCTTTGGATGGCAGTAGAGTGACGTCATCTGGTTGAGATTGGTCACCACCACACAGAGTTCACGGCCAAACATCTCATAAACCTATGAGGATACAATATAATGTGGAAAAGAAATGAACCTGGGGAGTCCCATCAATCCCCTGCACTTACTGCACAATAACATTTCGTGCCAGAATCGTTCTCATCAGCCATCTGCGCACCCACAGACAAGTTACCAATTAGCATATATGATAATTAAAGCGGCCATTATCGATTTCGACTGACGAACTATACATATTATAATTTAAGATAAGATTCTATAACAGATCTAAATTAATAGAAATTTGTTTAGATTACATGGCAAAATGTTGTCAGCATGTTACAGCTTGATAGTGTTTGACGGAGGCTTTTGGTTTTAATGTTTGTTTGTAGCAATGTGTAAGATGATCAATTCTGTGGCTAGATACTCCAATGCCATAGTCAAAATATGTCACATATGTTTAGGCTCTTTTAATATTTCCACATCACATAACGAGAGTTCGATTTCATCGTATAAGGCATGTGACATACTGAGTGCACTTGAGCATTATTTAGTCTATGGACATGGGGTCAAAGTTCACCTTAAAGCGATGAACGATGGCTGTCTTTGTGTTTGAAGTTTATTTTGGTACTGTAAAAGTATGTAGTTGTAATAGTAAAATAAGATATCAACTCAAGTCTGTGGTGTGTGTAACATCTAATCTTTATTCGCCATTCTAAATTCATTTTATTCCCTACATCACATGACCCCTCACTCCCTTTCTCCAACCAATATTCCCACATTTAAGTTGAAACATTCATGAAAACAACTCACCATGTCCAGTCATACAACAGGACAACAACACAGGACATTTGAGTCACAAGTTCAGTCAATGAACACTACAACAATAATCGTGAGTCACTCTTACTATCACATGTCCCTCTTAATAGGACAATCGATATTTAACAAGAAAACAGTTCTATATGCACACTTAGATTAATCAATAATTTGAATTGTATATCAATGTATATTTTCAATGGGATTTCAGGTGCCTGCCGTATATTGTTACCACTTGTGCTGGAATAGAATTAAGGGCACTTGGTTGATACACATTCACTATTGTCTCTTTTTCAATCTATAAGTTGGTAGCTTGTGGTTCATGAGTTGTGTCGGGGCTGTCCAATTCGAATACATCTGGAGCTCTGCTTTGCCCACCAAATGTCTCTTTACATGTTACGATTTAGTCGATATGTCATCCCATCGGTTGTCATGACAATGTATGACCTTGTTGTGGAGTCTTCTGAGATAACTACTGCTGGCTTCCACGATCCTCAAGGCCTGTTCTGCCAATAGCCATTGCTCCCAGGCTGAATCTGTGGCCATTGCTCCCAGCCTGAATCTGTGGCCACTGCTCCCAGGCTGCATATGTGGACCACCCGTACATTTCGCTGTTTTGTTGTAAAATCGTCCTTGATCGTTTTTTTTATTCTGTTCCAGATGTCGGCCATTTCTTTTAGGCCTGGAACTTTAGGCTTGAGGTATGCATCAGTAGCTGGAAGAATTGATCTTAGGCGTCTGCCCATCAGCAGCTGTGAAGGTGAAGGTCAATTAGGACATGGAGAATTTACAAACTGCAACAGGGCTATATATGGATCTTGACCCGAAACTTAAGCTTTCTTTTAAAGTGTCTTTACTATCTGTATTGCTCTTTCAGCCACGTCATTGGATTGTGGGTATTTGGGACCTGAAGTGATATACCTAAATTCCTACTATTTGAGAGGTTGAGAAAATCTTCGCAACAAAACTGGGGTCCATTTTCACTAATTAGTTCTCTTGGGATGCAACGTCAAGCAAATTGAGACTTCATATGAATAATCACATCAGAAGCTTTGAGAGACGGAATGAGACTAAATTCAAAGAATTTGCTGTAGTAATCAAGAAGTAAATATTTATTTCCAGAATAATGGAAAATATTAGCTCGGATTTTTTTCCCAAGGAAGTGCTGGGATTTCTTAGGCTATCATAAGATTTTTTGCTGGGACTTTTGATACTCATTGCATACTGACCAGCTAGGTTCAATGTCTATGATCTGTGATGTCCTTCTCGGCCAGAAAAGTACTTCTTTTGCTGTAGCCAAACATTTATCACGCCCTAAATGTCCTTGATGAAATCTTTTAAGCATGTCTTACTGTATTATTTTCGGAACTATTATTCGCTCTCCTTTGAAAAGTAAAACCATAGCTTTCAATTAGTTCCTCTTTGAATCCAGCAAATATTCTTATTTCTTGTGTAATATCACATCTTCTAGCTGGTCATCCTGCTCAAACATGTTGCCTTAAAACTCCGAGTGGCATCGTCCGCTATTGCCTTTTAAAATACTTTAATCTTTTCATCTGAACTAGGTAGACTGTTAACTATTAGATGAACCAGGGCGTCCCAGTCATCACTTGAAGGATACTGCCTTAATTGGTAAGGATGCCCCGAGAGGGAGTCTGGGATACATATGTCATTGCCAGTTTTGTATTCAAGAACAATTTCATGATTAATAGAAATATCCCCTGAAGCCTGGGCGATGCAGATAACAATGGTTTTTCATGATCACTTCCAATGGTTTGAGATCTGCCTCTACTGTTACTTAGCGCACATAGACATGGTAATGAAAATGGTCAACTCCAAATACTAAGGCAAGCATTTCTTTTTCTATTTGAGCATATCTTTTCCACACTCTGTTAAAGACCTAACGTGCTTTGGGACATCGTAGAAAGCTAGCCCTGGGGCTGATGTGATGAAATTCTTCAATTGATCCAAGGCAGCTTGGTGTTATTCCAGCCACACCCACTAGTTATCTTGTTTGAACAACTCTCTTTGGGGTGCAGTTACATCTGATAACGTTCTGGTTCTGGTAGTGTTCGTTGCTGCATCCATGTACTGGCACCTTTGCAACGGTTGGGGATATGATGTTGCTATTCTAACAGCTCCTAGCTGATGCCAGGGCAGCCTTGAAGCTTTCAACCGATGTCGAGTTCACAGTGGCATCGTTCAGGTGGTTCCATGCTATTATTGTGCGTGGAAAGAAAGATTGTTGATACTGCACTGTGTTGCACTGAGACACTTTGAAGCATTTGCTATTGTTTCTGGTGTAATTTTTTCTGGGGATGTCAGTGGTGAAGTCAGTGTTCAGTGAGCGTTTTGCTCTGATCGGTCGACCCGGTTTCTGTGGGGTTGAGGTACGTGCCTGCTGGGATGGCCGGCACCAGTCCCATGATCACTTTATATAAGAATATCAGGCGGAGTCCCTCTCATCTGCTTTTAAGGGGGGATGTCAAATCTTTTTAAGAGGCCAGTGACGAAGCCAGGAGTGGTGGATTTGTAGTCTCGAGCGATAAAACGCACCACGTTACGTTGAATTCGCTCCATTGTGTCCACGTGTTGCTTAAGGTGTGGGTCCCAGATGATCGCACCATATTCCAGTAGTGGATGGACGAGTGCGAGATAGGCATTTTGTTTACAGGAAGTTGGGCAGTGGCGCAGATTTGGGCAGTGGCGCAGATTTGGGCAGTGGCGCAGATTTGGGCAGTGGCGCAGATTTGGGCAGTGGCGCAGATTTGGGCAGTGGCGCAGATTTGGGCAGTGGCGCAGATTTGGGCAGTGGCGCAGATTTGGGCAGTGGCACAGATTTGGGCAGTGGCGCAGATTTCTCCGGATGAAACCTAGGGCGGAGTTGGCTTTTTTTTTTAATTTTGTTTATTTGGGGTGAACATTTTAGATTATTTGAGAAGAGAATTCCAAGGTATGGATCATTGGATACTTGTTGGAGGATTGTCTCGTTTAGTGAGTAAATATGAGTTGATGTTTTTTTCTTGAGATTGTCATCGTGTAGCATTTGGTTTCATTAAATTTCATGCCCCATTTGTCCGTCCAATTCATAAGGCACTTCAAATCTGCTTGGAGGTGGTTGTGGTCATCGTAGCTGTTTATCTCTCTGTAGATAAGACAGTCATCAGCGAACAGCCGCACTTGAGAATTTACTGTGTCGGGTAGGTCGTTTATATGACAGAGAAAGAGAAGGGTGCCCAGCACTGTGCCTTGTGGAACTCATGAATCTACGGTGGCTTTCCCTGATTTGACGCCGTCCACCACTACTTGCATGGTACGTTGTGTAAGGAATATTGAGAGCCAGGAGTGAAGATTGCCCGTAATGCCATAGTGGTGGAGCTTATGTAGAAGAAGGCTGTGTGGAACAGTGTCGAAAGCCTTGGAGAAGTCGAGAACTGCCATGTCGACCTGGGTACCTTTGTCATAGGAGGCTAGGAGGTCATTGGTGGTGGTGATTAATTGAGTTTCCGTTGAGAATCCAGAGCGGAAACCGTGATTTAGGTTGGTCAAAATGTTGTAGTGTTCAAGGTGGTTCATGATGGGGCGATAGACGATGTGTTCTAGAATTTTGCATGGGGCGGAGGTCAGGGATATTGGGCGGTAGTTTGCTGGGTTATGACGGTCACTTTTCTTGTAGGCACTAGTGATGTTTGCATCAAGCCAGTCTAGAGGGAGTTTGTTTGATTTTGTCTGTAGTCTACTTGTTATTCCTGAATCTGATGTCACTGCCGGTACATCACATTCTTCACTCATTAGTTGAGCTGCCGCTAAATTGTTTCCGCTGCCATTTTTGTATTTTCTGCCTTGTTGAGGGTCAGGCTAGACTCTTTAAGTAGTCGAACTCTGACTTTGTCCCTTTTAATACCACCTACAATTCTGTCCTTTAACAAAACATAGCGGCTTTCGAATTCACATGACTTTGCCTTGAGTTTGTGGTAAGTTAAAAAACTATTAAAGGTTTCTCCGTCACTTTGACTTCTCGATAAAAAAAAAATATATGCCTTGCAATTGTTGAGTTCTTTCTTAGAAAGCAGTGTTTTTCGAATTTCTTCAAAATAAAATTGAGTGTGTGGAAAGACGTACTTATGTAACTCTCTTCACCAGTCCACTGGGACGTTGTTGTTCGTCCGTCGAGGATCGACGATGACCATCGAGTCGTCTGGTGACTGATGACTTGCGCTAGTGACTTTTGTTTAAAGTGAGGAAGAGTTGCGCGGCGTCAACCTCACTCTCTCGTCCGGGCCCACCATATCCAGTGGCAAGACTCTATGTCAAGACGACCAAGGATGGGTATGGTTGCAAGAATTGTCATTGTATGCGCCTTACGGGACTCCAACGCCGGGTTTGAATTCAGAGTTTACTTCTCTTAGGTGAGTTGCCGACCAAGGTTAACGAGTCTCATCCACCCGGGGTGATGTTTTTGCATCCAGTCAATGGTCATACATTACGAATCGTATTGTTTGAGTTTCCAACTTAACGTCCATTAAGTTAATGGTCATACATTACGAATCGTATTGTTTGAGTTTCCAACTAAGCGTCAGCGGATGAAACGAAATTCCCGTCCTCTTCCGGAAAAAGACGATATGAAAACATGAGTTTACCGTACTGGGTGACAACACGAATTTACAACAACGGGTGACACCATGAGTTTACAACGACGGGTGACACCATGAGTTTACAACAATGGACGACACCAACCCTAGTGACGTCTATGATCCGCTGGAACAGGTAATTCTCCAAATATCATAAAGGTTACGCAAAGACCAGTTGTCTTTGACAAACGTTTTGGAGACTGGTGGTTATGGAGAGACCTTAAGCTCATTGAAAATATTAAGAATATCCATTTTTGTTGGGTGACCACCTCAAATCCCGTTAATCCTTAACATACAAACTGATCAAATTGTTCAAACAAATGCGGAGGCCCGAATTCCATTTCTTCAATGTTGATAACAAAAGATGATCTTATTTTGATAATGAAAACGAACCAAATGATCAAAGAAATTTAAACCTGTTTGAATGTTGTGTCCATATTTCCAGTTTTTTCGTAAACTTTCTCCCCGAACCATTGGTTGATACGTTTTCCAGGGTTCCAGCCATAAGACTTGAGAAGGTTGGGAATCAAACTCAGGTAACCACATTTGTGATCTGTGGGTAAGTGGTAAACATAAAGATAGCTTCAGGGAATGACAAATCACAACGCTATTGATAAAAGTTTCATAGTAGTGGAGTAACACACGGAAAGAGCTATGACCCAAAGTTTCTTGTTTTAAAATCAGTTACAAAAATAATTTTAAAATTAAGTAATATGTTTTGCAATTTATTTTTTTAAAAAGAAAGTGCAATAATTTATTGCTACATACTGTTACATGTTTTTTCTTTAAAATTTATTTTATTTTAAGTTTTGGCTCGTCAAATGAACAATGCGTACAAAGACCTAAAAAACAGTACGCCAAGAAAAACGCTACCAAAGCTAGTCATACTAACAAGATTGAATTTTATTATACTATTACATTTATATAAAAATACAAAGTCAAATATACAGGAACGAAAAACAACATAAACTTACATCACAGCAAGGAAAAGGTACAATGCTCGAAAATTACAAATATCAATTGTCAAATATCAATTGTCAGACACGCACACATAAAGAGAGCAATCTCTCCATTATAGAACGTCTCATAAATGCCTAGGAAAATAAGAAAACAATCGTTCCCGGCTAGGCAAGATGCCGGCCTATACATAGATATATAGGGATTTAATCGGAACCATACAGAAAAGTAATTCTAGAATTTGCACACCTGAAAGCGTTCTTTAGAAGAAATAGAACGCATTCGAACGTGAACAGCCTTTTCCCAATTAAGCGATGGGTTGGATAAAAGGACTGGCACGGCACATTTAATCGGCGAGGTCAATATCAAAACAAAAGAAAGTGGAGACAAGTGGTGTTGACTTAAATTAGACATAGGCCATAACATTAACCAAACATGGGTTGAGTCTTATTCGATAAATTTTAATATTTTAGCGAAGGCTGTTGTGATCTTTTAAATATATCTGTTTTTTTATTTCCCGTATTTGCCCCACTAATGTGTCTTCTAAAATGTAATAATGATACAGTCTATGAAGATAGGTGCGTATGTCTCAAACGTCCGACAAACGAAATATAAAATAACCCAGATTGAAGATGTATACCAGCTCAAATCAGCTACATTTAAAAGATAGTGCAATGATTGATATACATATATTATATTTTTTAAAGCAACACCAGAAACATTTAATGCTCCAGGGAATAATTGTTGAGCTCAAAAAAGATTGAGATAACAGAACAAATATTGAACTATGTGGCGACACGTAGATTACCACACGGCTTTGTGTGCTTTCAAATGGACTTCTCCGTCACTACTGCTATACTGCGAATCTTCAGATGTTTAGGTGGGGTGGGGACATTTTCGAAAGGAGAGACCTCACAAAAAATCGATTATAATTGACGCTGATCATTTGGATCACAAGAGCAGCGTTTACATTACATGCTGTTTTTCGTAGACCATATGTTCACATTTCAGCTTACCCAATGCCAGTCCCGAGTCCTATTGCATTTGGTGAACTTCTTGAAGAATTTTCAAAATCAATTAATTACATATTAGTTACCAAAGTGTGACATTTACCAACAGTGCTGGATTAAGTGAATTGAGGCACATGCCAAAAACTGGACTCTTAACACGATTTATTTGTTAGACCCATATATTAATCGACATGCTGCTTTATGGGCCATCATGAGGTACTAGAACATCAGCACACACCTAACCAGAATGATATGCAGCCTCTATGATAAAGCCACTAGTGCAGTCTTCTTCAACAATAACATCGGAGATTGGTTCAAGACCACGGTTGGAGTACGACAAGACTGCTTACTCTCCCCCACCCTGTTAAACATCTTCTTGGAGAGAATTTTGTCAGATACACTGGAAGTATGCATTAGTGGCAGAACAGTCAGCAACCTACGATTTGCTGATGAGATAGATGGACTGGCTTGAAACGAAGAGGGGCCAGCCAACCTAGTAAAGCGTCTCGACAAGACTTCATCGTCCTTTGGCATGCAAATCATTGCAGAAAAGACAAATCTGATGACGAATAACACACCGGTATCTCCACCGAAATCAAGGTCGGGGGGGGGGGATATTAGAGACAGTACGTGACATCAAGTACATAAGGGCAATAGTCTCGGAAGAAGGAAGGCTCCAAGCCCGAATTTATGTCCAGGATTGCCCAGACTACAACAGCACTAAAGAGGCTCAAGAAAATATGGAATGACAAAACTATAGCCCCCGCACCAAAATCAGGCTGATGCGCTCATTAGTCCTCTCCATTTTTTTGTATGCTTGCGAATCCTGGACATTAACAGCAGAACTTAAAAGAATAATAAAGGCGATGGAGATTATATGCTTCAGATTTTTTCTTGAAATCTGCTATAGAAACCATATCTCCAATGAACAAGTGAAAGAAAGGATTCGTCAAATAATGGTGCAGTATGATGACCTCATGGGAACTGTAAAAAAAAGCGCAAACTGGAATGGTATGGCCACGTAACAAGAAAACAAGGGCTCGCCAAAGAAATAATGCAAGATGGGAAGATAACATCAAAGAGTTGACGGGACTAAATCTCGGCAATGTTGTGCGAAGTGTAGAAAGCATCATCTGTGGCACCCCAACGGTCCAAGGACTAAGGGACATGGTGATGATGATATAGTAATTCAAAATTGCCATCATAAGCCCCTGGGAAAAGTAGAAATACGGCACTTTTCCCAGCAATATTTATCACTAGCTCTAGCAAGGTGGTCAAAAAATGCCAAAAAACTTGTCATAAAACTATATTAGAGCTGACCTTTGGACCCATTAAATCATCTAAGGGTGGCACCTACCCAAGAAAATGTTGTTCAGATTTAGACTGAAGAATTCCTCCAGGTCGTGAGAGTTGTAACCTATTGCCAGAAGGGATGCTGTCATCGCCCCCGCACTTGTGCCAGCAAGTCGTCGGATCTGTGGCCAGATGTCAAGGTCTTCCAACAGCTGAAAAAAGTTTCGCTTAAAGTGATGGCTCGTGCAGTGCGAGCGTGGACCACATATAACAAGGTGTTGGTCAATCAAATGGCACGCCGGTCTTACAACTCCCCTCCCCACCAACCTATTTTTAGCAGATGGTCCCCAAAAGCTTTCTATGAAACAATAATACTTGTTATAGTGTACGCTTCCACTATCAAGTAAAAAAAAGTAATCACTAAATTTAACGGTTGTCGTATTTTGTAAATAAGATGTTAACAAACATTAACATTTTACATACCACATTGTTAAAATAAAGTAAGTTAAAGGATACAAAAATTATTTGTCTTTAAAGATAATAATAAGAAACGAGTAAAAAAGGAGTACATACCCTTACAGCGCCGCAATAAGCCAGGCCTTTATTACCACCACCCTCGAAGACTAAATTTTCAAAGGGGTATGCATACATTTTTGGATCCACACTTCGAGCTTTCTTATCCTCTGAATTGAATATAGAAAAGAAGTCTGCCCTCTTGCTCAGTCTGATGTACTTGGCCTTCGTCCTCCTCTTCACCACATCACTCTTCCTCCTCCTCCCGCTCACAAGTTTAACCTCCCCAAACTCGGGTTTCACCTTCACCTCTGCTTCCACTTTCTCCTCCACCGTTTCCACGCAGCCATCCTCTCTACTGACGACGTTGTTGTTCATGCCGGTCGCTTCCTTCAGGATATCCACTTCTGTTGCCTGGGTCTCATCTCCCTGACCCACGTCGTCCACCGAGTCTGTGTCGAGCAGGTCCAAGCTGTCTTGGGATCCGAACCCCACGTCTAGAGATATCTCCTTCTCCTCCCCATCGCTCTCGTCCAGGTCGCTCTCAATATGACTATCGAAGTATTTCTTCTGGGCCTCCCTGATTGCGTGCAGCGCCGGGTTTATGGCCTCGGGCTGGTCCCGTTTCCTGCGGCTGCAGCACTTGTTGCCCATGGCATAAACCTGCTGAAATAAGGAACATGTACCAAGTGAGATAGTGGCAGATTCATTAAAGGAAATCTCGTGCATCACATGTCAACTCTCCAGCCCCAATAAAGTTTAAATGATGAGAAATGTAAAGATTTGGTAGAAATTCCTTAACTTCTATATTGTGTTGCCAGTTGCGTAGCTATGGATAGTGCCATCCAATGATTTGTCGCCCCATCCCTCGTAAAAAAACAAATAAACTGTATTTGGCAGAACACACCACCCTCCATATATTATAAAGTAAAGAATGCAGTACTAGGCAGACCAGTCCCTCCGCGCTCACGTCCTATGCTAATGCTTAATATATAGTCGGTCGAACATAAATTAGTTTTTAGGTTTCCCTTATTAAGGTACACAAAACTGAGGATCTTCCTAACAATTGATCCCTGTGATACAGGTGAAGTGCTTTTTCTGTTTAGCGGGGGTGAACACAGGTGAGGTATTTCCTCCATATTTTAATTGTTTGGACACACGTGAGGTGCTTCCTCTGCGAGGTGCCTCCTCTATGTTTTCCCAATTTAAACACACGCGAGGTGCTCTCGTATGTTCCCCTCCTTTGAAAACAGGTATTGTCACTATGTATAACAGATTTTATTCGTCACTAACTTACCACATTAACTATGCACCTCACGTAGCCTAAATAGAAACAAATCGATTGTGTACAAACTGTCGTTTTCTTAATCAATAATGTCTTGTTTAGTTGAACTTGTAACAAACATATCGTGACATTAACACAGATACAAATCGTTATTGAACTAATATATTACATTCAATATTCTCACGGAACTGCTTTGGCTGTCCACCAGTTTCTCGACACTCTCTCCAGTCATTTCTACTAGAAAATAAAGGTCGATCAGAAAATTTAAACTTTTAAAACGTGTTGATAGTGGTGTTATCTTACAGAGACATGTCATAGTTATAAATCCCCACAATTGTAGTACAAACAGTATCCATATCATAAGTAACATCAGCAATTATTAAATTCATTACCAGACAAAGCTCTAAATCCTCGGCAATAATCAGGCACCAGCGAAAGCTCTTAATCCTGACGCTAATCAGGCGCCAGTCCATAACATAGTTCTGGGATTCTTGACCCGGTCATCAAAGGTGTTTTTGGATACATTTTGGTTTAAGCTCTTTTTTATATCAACGAGAAAGATCTTCAGACCTTAACATTGTTCAAGATCTTCAGGATATGGCTTAAATCCTCAATTTTTTAAAGCAGGGCACTACCGAGACCTTAAAACTTTGACGTTATTAAAGATCGAACGACTTTAACACTAAAAAGATCTAAAGAATATATAATACCTATATATACACCCTACGAACTCTTTTATAAGTTTGGCAAACCCTTTGAATTCTTTGACTAGTTTGGCACACACTTAGAATTCTTTGACAAGTTTGGCACACCCTTTAAATTCTTTGACAAGTTTGGCACACCCGTAGAATGCTTTGACAAGTTTGGCACACCGTTATAATTCTTTGACAAGTTTGGTACATCCTTTGAATTCTTTGACTAGTTTGGCACACCCTTTGAATTTTTTGACAAGTTTGGCACATTCTTTGAATTGTTTGAGAAGTTGGGCACACCATTTGAATTCTTTGACAAGTTTGGCACACCCTTTGAATTCTTTGACAAGTTTCGCAACCCCTACGAATTCTCTGACCAGTTGTGCACACCTTAGTATTCTTCACCAGTTCGGAACACCCGTAGAATTCTTTGACAAGTTTGGCACATCCTTTGAATTCTTTGACTAGTTTGGCACATCCTAAGGTTTCTATGACTAGTTTGGCACACCCTAAGGTTTCTTTGACTAGTTTGGCACACCCTAAGGTTTCTTTGACTTGTTTGGCTCATCCTAAGGTTTCTTTGACAAGTTTGGCACATCCTAAGATTTCTTTGACTAGTTTGGCACACCCTAAGATTTCTTTGACTAGTTTGGCACACCCTAAGGTTTCTTTGACTAGTTTGGCACACCCTAAGATTTCTTTGACTAGTTTGGCACACCCTAAGATTTCTTTGACTAGTTTGGCACACCCTAAGATTTCTTTGACTGGTTTGGCACACCCTAAGGTGTCTTTGACTAGTTTGGCACACCCTAAGGTTTCTTTGACTTGTTTGACACATCCTAAGGTTTCTTTGACTAGTTTGGCACAACCTAAGCTTTCTTTGACTAGTTTGGCAAAGGTTTCTTTGACTCGTTTGGCACATCCTTAGATTTCTTTGACTAGTTTGGCACACCCTAAGATTTCTTTGACTAGTTTGGCACACCCTAAGATTTCTTTGACTAGTTTGGCACACCCTAAGGTGTCTTTGACTAGTTTGGCACACCCTAAGGTTTCTTTGACTTGTTTGACACATCCTAAGGTTTCTTTGACTAGTTTGGCACATCCTAAGATTTCTTTGACTAGTTTGGCACACCCTAAGGTTTCTTTGACTAGTTTGGCACACCCTAAGCTTTCTTTGACTAGTTTGGCACACCCTAAGGTTTCTTTGACTAGTTTGGCACACCCTAAGATTTCTTTGACTAGTTTGGCACACCCTAAGGTGTCTTTGACTAGTTTGGCACACCCTAAGGTTTCTTTGACTAGTTTGGCACGCCCTAAGGTTTCTTTGACTAGTTTGGCACACCCTAAGGTTTCTTTGACTAGTTTGGCACACCCTAAGCTTTCTTTGACTAGTTTGGCACACCCTAAGGTTTCTTTGACTAGTTTGGCACACCCTAAGGTTTCTTTGACTAGTTTGGCACACCCTACCTCTTGTTTTACCAACCCTCGTTCCCCTTACAGAAGTAACAATGTATTTTAAACTGAAAATAATGGACTTTCATTAATTTATATAATCGCAAATTGAACAATAGTGCGTATAAGACGTACGCGTTACTTATTACATAAAGAAAGGTTTATGAAGAAGTAAATACAAAACCAAACTATTTATACATCATAATTTATAAGCCAATGACTCCTCTGTCCTTATTATTTCTTTTCCACGCACCCTGAAAAATGCACCCCCCCCCCGCCTGATATATCTACCTAGCACCTCCAATGTCCATGAGCACAACAGGTAGGGAAACGTGTTCTAGCTGGAACGGGGACAGCGCATAAAGCATTGGGTACATGTCTCTCCTGTCTTTCACCTGCAGCTTGTTTATTTTGTTATGTCGGCTTACTATGGGTGTGCAATGACTCATGTCGGTAAACATTGATTTAAACACATCACATCCACACACATCACAGCCACACACATCATTGATTTAGCAACTTATGCACCATGAAAACTAACCAAGGAAAATGTAGAAAACAAAACAAGTAGCAAAGATGCGATCTGTAGATTTGACCGCAAGTTTTGATACAAGACCAGAAGAAGATTTAGAAATGTATCCAGATTTGCACGTGAAACACGTGCAATGGACAGGTTGGTAGACACGTGCAAATGAACAGGTAGGCAGACACGTGCAAATGGACAGGTAGGCAGACACGTGCAATGGACAGGTAGGCAGACACGTGCAATGGACAGGTAGGCAGACACGTGCAATGGACAGGTAGGCAGACACGTGCAATGGACAGGTAGGCAGACACGTGCAATGGACAGGTAGGCAGACACGGGCAATGGACAGGTAGGCAGACACGGGCAATGGACAGGTAGGCAGACACGGGCAAGGGACAGGTAGGCAGACACGTGCAATGGACAGGTAGGCAGACACGTGCAATGGACAGGTAGGCAGACATGGGCAATGTACAGGTAGGAAGACACGGGCAATGGACAGGTAGGCGACACAGGCAATGGACTGGTAGGCAGACACGTGCATTGGACAGGTAGGAAGACACGGGCAATGGACAGGTAGGCAGAGACGGGCAATGGACAGGTAGGCAGACACGTGCAAAGGACAGGTAGGCAGACACGGGAAATTGACAGGTACACAGACACGTGCAATGGACAGGTAGGCAGACACGGGTAATAGACAGGTCGGCAGACACGTGCAATGGACAGGTAGGCAGACACGGGCAATGGACAGGTAGGCAGACACGGGCAATGGACAGGTAGGCAGACACGTGCAATGGACAGGTAGGCAGACGCGTGCAATGGAGAAATAATGTCGAAATAGATTTCAGGAATGGTCCCATTTTGTCATGTGATTAGAAGAATTATTGGTGTCGGCTGAATAAAAAATCAATCGCGGATACCAAAGATAATTCGACCCCTTGAACTAGAAATTTATACATCCACACACATCACATCCACACACATCACATCCACACACATCACAGCCACACACATCACATCCACACACATCACAGCCACACACATCACATCCACACACATCACAGCCACACACATCACATCCACACACATCACATCCACACACATCACAGCCACACACATCACAGCCACACACATCACATCCACACACATCACATCCACACACATCACAGCCACACACCACACATCCACACACACCCGAGAAGAAAATATACAGAACCATTAAAAAAAATAAATAAAATATGTATGCCTAGTCATCGCTCTGTTATATAAGACACCTTGTTAAAAACATGAGTTAAAGTAACCTGTAGCTTCCAAAATAGTAGGATATTTCAAAACGCGAGCGTTTTCATTTATATGTTTAATAATATAGGAGAAGTTTCAAAATATACTTTAAAATTATTTTTTTTCTATTTAAAAAGATGTTTTCAAAATTAAAGTTAACAATGAAATTTCCAAAAGAATCTCCACCATTATGACGGTAACAATTAAATATATAATTCTTTGGCTCACTAAGGTCTCACTCAAGTCTCACTCAAGTCTCACTCAGGTCTAACTGAAGTAATCCTACTTTCAAGTATGTGTGCTGGCCCTAATGTAATTTCCAAGTCCAGGGGGATTTAATATAGAGGTCCTCGAACCCTCACCACTAGCCCCCACCCCCTCCAGACCCCCTTGGGGATGTCACCGAAACTTGAAAAACTTAAACAGATAAGAAAATAACTATCAATGAATTTTGCACCGGGGTCTGCCCCAATGGGGATCATTCCTTAAACTTGGGAGCCACTGGAAAAAAAAAAAAAAAATAAATCTAGATTTTGGAATAGAATTAACGAGTTTCTAAGCCATGATTGAAATCGTAACTCGAACTTAAGACACACTCTAAAAAATAAAACAACGTTAAATAATCAATATTTCTCGACGCGACTTAACACATAGTTTAGACAGCGACCCCACAAAAATCCCTTCGCAACCACTTTGGAGGTGCTATCCCATGAGTTGAAAACCTGTGCTCTAGTAACTTATTTTACAAAGCTGTTTATTTGGAAATATATTATCTCAATTTTTTTAGCGTACTCTTTACTTCCGAAATCAACTTAATAAGACATATTTCAAATTGTTTTTTAATTTGAAACACGCACTTGTTACAAGTTGTTAAAAACATTATCTTGCAAGTATATCGTGACATTACCTTCCAAGTATATCGTGACATTACCTTCCAAGTATATCGTGACATTAGCTTTCAAGTATATCGTGACACTAGCTTGAAAGTATATCGTGACATAACTTGCAAGTATATCGTGACATTAGCTTGCAAGTATATCGTGACATTAGCTTGCAAGCATATCGTGACATTACCTTGCAAGTATATCGTGACATTAGCTTGCAAGTGTATCGTGACATTAGCTTGCAAGCATATCGTGACATTACCTTGCAAGTATATCGTGACATTAGCTTGCAAGTATTTCGTTACGGATTTGAAAATGGAATTTGCGACATGTATAGAATTTAAAACTCATATTAAGTGTAAAGTTTTGTTCTACAGGCTGTCCTATCTGAGTTAGCTAAACCAACATATTAAAAACTAGTTATGCAGTACTGGGACTAAGAAGGAAAAATGAGGCAACTCGTAACAGGTGACCAACCTCTTAAATAACCTTAATAACTTTTCCATTCATTAATAGACTATAACAATTTAGCAATTATTAAAAAAAAAAACACTCTTTTATTGTTGCATTCAGATTATGATCTAGTTGTAATTGTATTAGTTTTATCCGGGATTAGAGTTTCTTTAATCCCGTTTTCCCGGGATAAGCAAAAACCTGGGAATGAGAAACCCTAGTCCCTATAATTGCTCAAAGTATTTACAAGATGTATGTTTTATTGAATTGTGCTGTAGTTTGTAAAGTGTTGCAGGAATTTTTACTTAAAGACTAAATTTGGTAAACTACAAACCAAAAATCTCTCACTCAAAAAAAAAAAAAAAGTATCTCATAATACGTGTCTCAAAATACATGTCTCATAATAAGTGTGTGTGAGAAATTATAATTGTGTTCTATGAAAATGAGATGACGATTCATTTTTAGAAGAAGAAAAAAACCAACGTTTATTTCCGATAGCGTATGTGTCATGTAAAGTACAGAGCATAACTTGAAGTGTCTGAGTTGAGAATGAACACATGACTTGTTGTCTACAGGTAAGTGTAAGAGCAGAGCAGTCGAAACATTTCACAGGCTACCCAAAGCAGAGATATCTACACTATTGTAACTTATTACGATGACATTTCTTCATTCAAGCTGAATGAATTTAAGACATACCTTTTTTTAATTGTATACTTTCCGACACATAATTTTAATAATCAACACACTGCCCGGCTGTGTGTGCAATCTCTGCTTGACAGCCTCGCAACACACTTGGAAAGATCTTTATACACAGGGGAAATAAATGTGACCTATTTATCTGTTGCAGTGCGTTCGTGTTTCTCTTCCCCACCTCTTCGTTCTACCCGTAATACACCCCCTCCCCTCCCACTGAGCCTTTTAACCAGCAATTTTTTTTCGACCTACAATAAACTGCAGGCGAATGCACCCGTTACCGAAAACGCAATTTGGGTTTTTCTCTCTGTTCAAATGCTATTTCTAAGTGGCAAGTTTGTGCTGAGGCAGTAAATCTAGAGCAAAACTTCGGGCTACTTTCACGCATTTTCTATATTTATGCCTATAAACAATAATACTAAATAACTGGATATTTTTCTTTAAATATTTCAAATTGATTATTTAAAATAAAAGGTTTGAAAGCTGCCGCTGAAACATTCTACTGGCCATAAATCATGGTGTGTACAATCAAACGAAATGATTTGATAAAAAAACAATTGTCCTTGTTATAACTTTAAAAATTAATTTGTTCACAAGCAGTTTTTTTCCCCACTGGCGTCCGTCGGTCACAATGGGAAGATGATGCGACTTCGCAGAACGAATATTTCTTTAGGAATACAGGCCGGTTCCCTAGACAGCCAGAAAGGCGACGTGATTTGTGATATGTCTTGTCACGGTCAGATCGCGTGAGTTTTTCTGTGTCAGCTTTTATGATGTTAATTTGACCAATCGTGGGGGAGTTTCTTTTCCCCGTGTGCCCCACGAGTTTTGATTTTTCTCGGTCAGGTATGACCGGTGTGCTGTGTCGGGAGGAACCACGTGATGAGAGGAGTGGGTGAGATGAGTTTTCAAGGAGTGAACAGTGGCGAATGCTGTGGATATGGTGTATGATTTGTGTCTTGTGAAGGCAGTGAGTTTTTCTACGGATGGAAGAAGACTTGTGTAACCTTGTTTTGTATGGTATGTGGAGTTTTTCTACGGATGGAAGAAGACTTGTGTAACCTTGTTTGTATAGTACGTGGAGTTTTTCTACGGATGGAAGAAGACTTGTGTAACCTTGTTTGTATAGTACGTGGAGTTTTTCTACGGATGGAAGAAGACTTGTGTAACCTTGTTTGTATAGTACGTGGAGTTTTTCTACGGATGGAAGAAGACTTGTGTAACCTTGTTTGTATAGTACGTGGAGTTTTTCTACGGATGGAAGAAGACTTGTGTAACCTTGTTTGTATAATACGTGGAGTTTTTCTACGGATGGAAGAAGACTTGTGTAACCTTGTTTGTATAGTACGTGGAGTTTTTCTACGGATGGAAGAAGACTTGTGTAACCTTGTTTGTAGAGTACGTGGAGTTTTTCTACGGATGGAAGAAGACTTGTGTAACCTTGTTTGTAGAGTACGTGGAGTTTTTCTACGGATGGAAGAAGACTTGTGTAACCTTGTTTGTATAGTACGTGGAGTTTTTCTACGGATGGAAGAAGACTTGTGTAACCTTGTTTGTAGAGTACGTGGAGTTTTTCTACGGATGGAAGAAGACTTGTGTAACCTTGTTTGTAGAGTACGTGGAGTTTTTCTACGGATGGAAGAAGACTTGTGTAACCTTGTTTGTAGAGTACGTGGAGTTTTTCTACGGATGGAAGAAGACTTGTGTAACCTTGTTTGTAGAGTACGTGGAGTTTTTCTACGGATGGAAGAAGACTTGTGTAACCTTGTTTGTAGAGTACGTGGAGTTTTTCTACGGATGGAAGAAGACTTGTGTAACCTTGTTTGTAGAGTACGTGGAGTTTTTCTACGGATGGAAGAAGACTTGTGTAACCTTGTTTGTAGAGTACGTGGAGTTTTTCTACGGATGGAAGAAGACTTGTGTAACCTTGTTTGTAGAGTACGTGGAGTTTTTCTACGGATGGAAGAAGACTTGTGTAACCTTGTTTGTATAGTACGTGGAGTTTTTCTACGGATGGAAGAAGACTTGTGTAACCTTGTTTGTAGAGTACGTGGAGTTTTTCTACGGATGGAAGAAGACTTGTGTAACCTTGTTTGTATAGTACGTGGAGTTTTTCTACGGATGGAAGAAGACTTGTGTAACCTTGTTTTGTATGGTATGTGGAGTTTGTCTACGGATGGAAGAAGACTTGTGTAACCTTGTTTTGTATGGTATGTGGAGTTTGTCTACGGATGGAAGAAGACTTGTGTAACCTTGTTTGTATGGTATGTGGAGTTTTTCTACGGATGGAAGAAGACTTGTGTAACCTTGTTTGTATGGTATGTGGAGTTTTTCTACGGATGGAAGAAGACTTGTGTAACCTTGTTTTGTATGGTACGTGGAGTTTTCTTCTGGACACGTTTTGTTCTGAACACCAGAGCTTATTTCTTATAAAGTTTTCCATTGTTAGGCACACTTAGCCAATAAATAAGAAAAACCTGAATCTCTGCATTGTTTGTTTGATACTTGGAACAAGAGTCAGCTCTGTAGGAGCTAGAAATAAAGGGGTTCTAGACCCTTGAAAATTGTTCTGTGGCAAGTACGCAGGGGACCGACCTCTAGACAACGTACATCACGTCACATGTCTTCTTTACTCCCAAATGGCCTGAAAGTGGTGACTCATGGGCTAAGTTCACGATTTCGTAGGAACTACTATTTGATGAACGATCCTCAATTCTTCCCAAGCATTTGCGTCTGGAGGTCGCCATTTTCTCATAAGTATGTCATCTTGAATATAGTAACATACAGGGAATTGTTCAGCTTCTTCTTCGGTTAAAGCGTTCGCACGAAGTTTGAATATTTCTGGATCACTCCTCTGCTCTTCAATAAGTTGCATTCGAGTTGGAGTCTTGTGATTCCTTGACTCTTCGTTTAGACTGGCAAAAAATGTTTTTCCCAGGTCAATTTCAAGAAGAATTTTATTGCTTTTTTGTGAAATCTCTTCTTGTAGATCTTGGAATTCATGGCCCTTTTTACAGCACATGCTGGATACAATTCATAATCTTCTTCCTGAGATTCAGTGACACAAGGTTCATGAGTAACGATCAGTTCGGCTATCACCTTCCAACCAGTGAGGTCATTGCCTTGCAGCAACGAGATGCCGTCCAATGGTAATGTTGGTCGGACACCCACAACCACAGGTCCGGAGACTAGGTCTGATTTTAGGTTGATGAGATGTAAGGGTACATCTATGCATCCCAGCTCTACACCTCGTAACCGGATGTTGCTCCCAGTAGCAGTAGATTCAGACAAGGGAAGTATACCCTCAAGTAGCAAGGACTGTGAAGCACCTATATCTCGTAAGATTTTGATTGGTCGTAGACTGGAAAAATCCCCTGGCAGTGATACAAATCCTTCCGATCTGAAAGGCATGAAGTCTTGTATGACATCAGTAGTTTCTGATGTAGAAGTTTTGACCTTGGTAGGTAAACTCTTGTTGGAGTCTTGAGAACATTCGGTTAGGATAGAGGAAGTAAAACTCTGTGTAGAGTCGGGAAAAATTGCACACAATTCCTCAGTAAGACGCCCTCTGGAGGTAGACCTCTTCTTGGAGCAAAAGGATCTTGGCGACAAGCTCATAAAAGTCGCAGTCGAAGCAGGAACTTGGCTGGAGTCAGTAAAACTAGCCTTATTGTTCATTTTGAAACTCTTTGATGAGTCGTGACAAACCTCTTTGAAGTTTGTATGGATATCTTGAGAGTAACAACTCTTGAATTTTGAAAATGTAGTTCCAGATGTAAGACGAGACGTACACGCGGAGACTTTGTGTGGTGTACCAGGATGTGTTGTCTTCTCAGTTTTCTTCTTAAGTTTCCAGCACTCATCCATCGTATGTCCTTCTGTTTTACAGTAGACACATGTGTCTTTTGCACTTGTTTCTTTGGTACCATTTTTGTATGAATTTTGTTTAGGTTTACTGTAAGTTGGTACAACTGTTTTATTGTGCCTGTCTTTTCTGGTGTCAAATGGGTTCTTTGAGAATTGACGTGTGATGGTGAAGTCATCAGCTAACACTGCTGCCGTATGTGCGTCACATTCGCCACGGTCTGCAATATGTATTCGCACCTCAGTACGAAACAATTCTTGAACTCCTCCATCAGAATGAGGTTCTTGAACTTTTTGAAGTCTGTGTCAGTGTACGTTGCGTGCAGCCACTTTTCCCGGAGGAACTCAACATGAGTCTTGCCATCACGTTTCCACAGCTCCCTAAACTTTTTACGGTAAGCGTCGGGGACACATTCTTAAGCCTTAAGTATTAAAGATTTTACTAGGTTATAGTCCCCGCGCTGTTCCGCAATCAATGACACAAAGACTTCAGATGCCCTTCCAGTCAGAGCTGGTTGCAATAACGTAGACCATATATTTTCAGGAATGTTAAAATTGTGTGCAGTTATTTCGAACTGTGCAAAATATTGGTCAACCTCCTTTTCTGCAAATTTTGGGATTACTTTTGCAAATTTAATTGCATCGCAACCCTGACCGCCTGGAGCCATGAGTCCATTTTCCTTTGCTCCCAAATTGGCTGTTATTTCCAATTCTTTTAATTTTATTTGTATCTCTTTCTGTGCTTCCAGTTCAAGTTGTTTAAGCTCTCGTTCTTTTTAATCTCTTTCTCTCTGAGCATCTAGCTCCATTTGTTTAAGCTCTCTATCTTTTTCTAGCTCCAGTTGTTTAAACTCACGTTCTTTTTCTCTCTGAGAATCTAGCTCCATTTGTTTGAGCTTTAGCTGGAGCTCCATACTAGGATCATGCGGTTGTGTGACTGAGGCCAGTTCATCCTCAGACAACATGTCTTCATCCACTAAGTGAACGATGATCATATCTCGTATGGTCTTTTTAACTGCCAAATGAGCTACACTTATTCCTAAATCTTTAGCAATAGAAAATAGCTCTTTCATAGAACATTTGTCTAATGCCTTTACTGATGGGTTTTCAACATCAAAATCCATTTGGACAAAGGCAAAATATAACATTAAGTTTTATAAAAATTTAAGCTTAGTGAACACATTTATTTAATTGAATTTAAAGAAAAATTGTAACTAGCTCTGTTATTGGTATCGTAAAATGGTATCGTGTACTCAGATTTATTATGAGTATGTCAAAGTAAACAGTTGG